CCTACTACAGCGCTTTAGGCAGTGCTTGCTACTGAGGGACCATGAAGTGAACTAATGCCCAGAGACATAACAATGAGCACTTTCGCCACACCAGCACCGGGACTGCCCGAAGAACCAAAAGAAAGAGGCTTGCCACCTCGGCAGGGACCGGCAAACAGCATCCGATGCAACAGAACAGTAACCTCTACACAAGTTCCCGTACCGCACCAACCCTAGAATTTGGCTTCGTGACGTGTTTCACACAGCAATATAAGGGGTCCCAGAAGTAAACTACTGGAGCTAAGAACAATGCGTTTTCATCCGCATGCAGACATAAGTTTCATTTCGGAGACGCGACCATAGTCAGATGTCTTCCGTCAGGGAACTTTCGTAGCCAACATAACCTTGTTCTGAAGGGCAGGTAAAGAAGAAAGCGGAGTGGTCATATATGATCGTGCGCAGCAGAAAGCTAAAGTGACTGGTAATGTGTTTGGCCAACCGCCAGAATCCTTGCAGTGCTGTTTCGCCATAAACCCAACAAAGTACTTACCAGGAGTGGTATACAGGCCACCTCTATGCAGAAAAACCCATAGTCATGAAAGGATCACTTCGATTTCAATGCCTACCTTGGCAGCCTATGACCATGTAGCCCTAGCTGGAGGCCTTAACACATCGGCACTTAACACGGGATGTGCAGTAAGCCTCATACATAAATCTTTTGGACAGACACCTCGAAACACATTCGTAGCAGCAGGACTAATGGAAAAATTGAGCAGAACACCCAGCGGGGACCAGATGGAAAAATATTACGACTTGACTGCGTTATAAATAGCGGCGATCCTTTGGTGGACGACACCTGTGACCAACCCCTTCGCGGACAAGGCGATCACGAGTTGGTGTGATTCTCCGTTATAGCCAAGGAGAAACTCCGAGCAGTTGAACCAGGAGCCTTCCACTGTCACCGGAAGGCGGACTATTACCCCGTGACGGATAAATTTTTGAACGCACCGTGGCCATAAGAATGACACTCTTTATAGATGAACGAAAGCTAAATACATTTTGGAAATATTACCTGGAGCGTCGTGGTGAAGGGTATTTCATAAGTAATCAAACGACAATCTGTCATATGTTCTTGAGTGCCTGGCACAACCCAAAGGTAAGTACATGGAAGGGCATGGTGTAATTGGTGCACATTGCGCAGGGAATCGGACGCTCTTGGCTTCAAGTGGCTACTGAACTTGCTTAGTACATGCGTTCGCGAGAACAGGTGCAAGTACTAGGGTAGCCTTACCAAACACCGAAATTACAATCCGAAAAGCCCGTAACGATTTTTGGCGCAGTGGAAATCAATGAATAAATGTGTTAACCTTACCTCAGCGGCGAAAGGTGAAAACTTGAGTAGTCGTGAGTTGTTGGAACTTTTGGGCGTCGGATATGACGAGCAGGTCAACACAGTGATGCTTCCGCCTCCAACTTCCAGCAGCGTCACAAAGTTTTAGGACTAAGATACGGTGACGAACGTGGAAATTTCGTAAAATCAAGCGTCCCTGAAACCCCGATACTTAGAACAGCGAAATCTCCCGGCTGTGACGAAATAGGAGTGATGGTCCTGCGGGTTTGTGCCGGGCTGCTAAGCATACAGATTTACAGGCTTTTTAAGCCCTGTTTAGAAGTAAATCAACTCCCCAGAGAATGGAAGCATGCTATTTTCTCGCCAAGCTTCAAAGGAGGCGATTGAAAAAACCATGCAATTACAGACCGTACTGTCCATTGTACTGGGAAGCTTGGTCTCAGATTTTGCTCAGAACTACCCAAATAGAAACGAAGTCGCTCATCCCACCCAACACGGTCGTTTGCCACAAACTTGCACACAGCTTAGGATGACTAAAATAACAAATAAAACAACAGGCAACCAGTCCACGCTTTCTGGACTTGGTCGAAGCTTTTGAAAGCCTCCCCTGTAACACCATACTCACAAAACTTACAAAAGTGGGTATCAATGAACCACTCATAACATGGTCTACAGCATACCTAAAGGGGAGAGAGTCCCGCATCACGATAAACAGAATTAGGTCGACGTGGAGAGGTGAAAGAACGTGACTTTCTTAAGGGATGGCTTTGGGTTACTTCTACTGTTACTATTCGCGAGTGATCTCGCTCAAATCCCCTCATTCATCCTCCTATTTGCCAAAGTCACCAATTCATTGAGGACAATAGGTAGGAAAATAGATCCTAGGATACTTCAAGAGGGTTTACTGCGGTTGCAGTGCCAGTAGTCCGAGAATGGTTTCGGCTTTAACCCGGAGAAGTGCAAGGTGATGTATCCTTGTACACCGAATTAATGAAAACTAGCCCCACCCTCAGCAACTGTGCAACCACCTGTGTATCTACAGAGAAGGATCTAGGACTAGGTTTGTTTGACGCGTTATATACCAGTGCCAAATATGAGGGGATGGTGGCGACGGCGAACACCATCATGGGCTTTCCACTGAGACAGCTTGAAGCCCTAGCTCCTGTAATATTTCTCACGGTACCTAAAAATTACATTGGAACGCAGTTTTAGGTGTCCGACAAGGTGGCCCCTCCCCTGTTAAAGAGAAACGCACGTATTCCCAAGTGGGTCCGAGAAGGGCGACGAGATCAGCTGCGGGACTAACAGGCAAAACATGCCCGCGACGCCTTAGACAGCTCAACTTGCTCGCTTTAGGCTGTCGAGGGGAAAGAAGCGACCTAATAGCAGCCTACAAGATCATTCACCAAGTAGACCACCCTAGCAGCTCAGTATTATTCGTTTGAAACCGATAGTCTTGTTAGAGCGCCACCCGCATACAGCACCAGAGGGTTACGATGAGTGTGTGCCTGATAGAGCTCAGTCGAAGTAAGGAGCCGCATATACCCTACGTGACCCTTTTAAGCGAATGCTCGGTAATTAAGTTGTCACATGTGGCATACCTCGGTAAATTTTGATGGTAATTGTACTTTTACATCCGTCTATGCGAGTCTCTAGATAATTCTCGTCAGTCAGCACACATCCTTTGGAAGGATCATCAGTTAGTTAAGCAGAAACTGTCAGATGTTAGGATTGGACTTGACAAACCCAGTCACTGAGACAACTTCTCCGCAGTGACAGGAAAATTCGCTCCCAGGAACTACACCGTTAAGTCATCATAATGGGGTGTTGGAATGCTTGGGCACCGATACTACTGAACTTACCCTCGACATAAATCGGTGGAGATATCTGATAAAATAATATCCAAATCAATGTAGGGGACGAAAATTAACCACCTTCCAAAACCTCTCCGGCCCTCCGCCATTCATGCTCCTAGGCTGTTCCAAATGACCCTTGGTTCTCCGAACAAGGTAAGAAAAACTCTGGAGTCATGTTATGATAAATCGGATGTCTCCCTTAGAGATAGCAAGATAACCCTGTGTAAACCCAGGGGAAAAAGGCAGAGGGAGAGGGGAATCGAGTAGTTGCCGTTGGCCGACCCATGTCTGACCATCGAATGGACGATGAACAAGAGGTTTTATCCACCTTGTCGGGGATTGGAGAATCCTGAAATGGTTTTACTGCAGCCCTTTTCGCCACCTTGCACGGGCCCCATATTCCTCTTCATCCTGAAAAATTCGCTCGAAGGACATAGCCATCCTTGAACAAGATTAGGGGAGAGCCACGAAGGAAGTGCTTGTGTTTTGGTCCAGACATACCCGGATCGCTTAGTTGCTCCTAAGCTGCATCTAATGCGACACCAGAGTATCAGAAGGAATGTGATCGTGATTTTTAACACGGTCCATAATTCCCTTCATCCCATTCGTCTTAAGCCTGAACCAGAGAAGCCACCTTCGGGGTCGCCCATTAGGTATAGGGCACGAGGGAGCGTGCAAAAGGGTCCGCTCCAGCTATCTTGCAGTTACAGTTCGTAAACTATGAGACTTTCTTTCTTCAGACGCCGTTACTGTTTCCTTCCCTGCCACTTTCAAAAGGAGGTTAGATGTAAATTTAGACTTCGAGGGGACCGGTTGTGTCACTATGTGTAAAGCCGAACCAATCCTACCTAACTCTCTGAACTCAAGTACCTGCTTAACCAGTACCCTATCTAACGTGTAAGTACTGACAACGAAACAAATCAAACGGAATGGCATGCATGAATACATTCGAGGGAGTAATATATGTAAATAGAATATATATGAGAGTGATTGTTAGGAAAAAAGTTTGTCCGCTTTATCTGGCTAATATTGCCGAGCCGGAGATTTTGGGGATGTGAATGTTTACCAGCACAAACGCAGCCCAAAATGGCGTTGAAACCTACCGAGATGCATAATCGCCAAAAAACTTAAAACACCTTAAGGATCCGGGGCAAGCTAGAAGCTTGTTTAGTTAATTCCACCTAGTCTGCTCATTCTAACCTAGTTGCGTTATGGTGCCAGGAAGGTGCACCACATACTTTTGTGGTACCTATGGGCTGCAGTGGAGAAGTGTTCCTTCATCTACAAATCAGGTGAAGTAATACTAATTGTTTAGACCAGATCAACTAATAATCGATTATCTCTATCCTCTCAGGTTTTCTAGAACCAGGAAGATAGCCACGACCATTACAAACCAGGAGCGTGATTCAATAAGAGAGATGTAGAACTCATGGAACTATCGTCCACTAATTCTACACAACGAAGTTTTAAGTTTGAACCTGTTTTTCCTCACTTCCTCTCCTTCGTTCCTGCTGGATACCTTTTCATTCTTCCTATCTTGTTTTAAGAGGCATTCTAGACAACTCGCTGTTGATACGACATTTGATGAACCTGTGTACACCAGTCCTAGGACAAATAGTACAATCCTGACAAGTTTTGTAAACATCCAACCACTCGTTGGGTATACGTGAGCTGCAGCAGGCTAGCGGGTAGAAGTACCGTAGCAGAATTGGTAAATGACTTGGAAAAGTTTCGAAATACCCAGAAGCTAGCGTGAAGAAACCAGTTGATCCATACAAGCTTATAAAAGGTATTGGATAGTGGACATATTGAGGATTGGAATCAACCGCGTATTCTCATCCCGATGGCCGTTCGTGGACATCGAAGACCGTTTTTTAGACGGAACTCGTAAGTAGTAGATAAGCATCGGTCGTCTGTTTACTTTTAAGCAAAAAGCCAAGTGGTTTCTTTGACACCACAGCATTTTGAAAAATAAAGAAACGTGTGCTTAAGCACCCTAAGGCTTAATTAGGCCTAAATGCCATGTAATTTGTTTCATCTACAGAATTCTGTACACGCTACATTTCATTCCAATCTGCATCACCTTTGACACTAAGAAGATATATATATATATATATATATATATATATATATGTTGGCGTACTGTGCTGTACAAGTCTTTTATGTCGTAATATATGGGTATTGAACATAACTAATTAGGGTTGGAATATTTGTGAGAGCTTCATATATTTGGCTACCATTGTCTTTATAGCATCTCTTGAATGTAACGGAATACGATAGAGTATTTATTTAAGGAGGTAATTCATTTGATTAATGCTGACATTGAGTTGGTCTCATTAACGTACTTACATCCACATATGTGTGCAAATCTTGGGAACTTTCTTCCCGTCTTAATACCTCAACAGTCGTGGTTGTGCTTGGTTACACTAGGTTATGGATCATCATTTTTACATGGGCTACTCAGATCTTATCGGATAAGCGTATTGCCTGTACCGAATTCCTGAAAAGAGATCCAAGTTTTAACCACGAGTGTCTTCATAGCAGGTCTCACACGATGGAATCACTGTAAGGAATATCTAGGTTGGACGAACAGTACCAGGCAAGGAATATAAGTCAGTTGATGCGGTTGTTAACCTTTAGCGACCAAGCTGACTTGAACATGCATTATGCATACCGAGCCACCACCTACCTCGATGCGCAATGCAAGCTGAAGTAGGATTGAGTTCATATACGGCTCTCGATGGCCAAATAAAGACGCGACATACAAGTCAGCGTGGACCCTCACACAAAGTGTATTGGTTCAAATTGCCATACTTCACAAACGGGTAGGTAGAAAACGACTGATGTCGAAAGAGAGGAAGCCCTATTAGAGAATAAATAATTCGAATATCAAGGTTAGTGCAAATATTCAAGCACTAAAAGGCAGAGTGAGCCCATCTGCGCCATTGTAACCGACTTTCTACCATGTCACCAAGAGTCCTCAACCACTGATTCCTGTTATCTTGGGGACCCCAACCAAGCAGTCTACATCTCTCCACACGTCTCAGATCAAACCGGATTGCATAGATGACTATGGTCTCAGTCATCATCGTCTTCTTACCAGTGGCCTTAATAAGCCTAAATAAATGCCGGATGTTGATGCTTTTTTCATCGCTTTCGTCCCCCACCACTGCTGGCGATCAGAGTGGAAATGCTTAGTTAATTTGCATTTGAGTTGCTTTTCCTCATTATTGCTATAGCCAGCTGGAATCAGCCTTCCCACATCAGTCAGTTTGAATGATGTTACGGAAACCCGCTGACCCTTTGCAACCTTTAAAAGTAGGCTATCAACTGTTTTTACCACTGTTTCTACAGCAGACTGAATATCACGCCACGTTCCTCTCAGGATGATGTCTCCTCTCTAAACACGTAAGTCGATTCATCATCTTCCAATCAAGTATTAACAGGCTTTACTATCGCCTGTTTTCTGTGACCAGTAAGGCTCAGACGAACTCGTACTAACGCATGGTCGGAGTACAAACAAGTACTCCAGATAGAGCAGCAATAATCCACCAATCCCTTCCAACGGTGGCTTATAGCAATGCAGTTTGTGTCCATCGTTGGTTTGGTGTCGACAGACGTCATGTGAGATAGTGTCTCACCTCATTTTAAAGTTAGGGCTGGCCAGAAACAAGTGATTGTCAGAACAAAGTTGCAACAGACGATCACCTTTGTCCGTTGGTTGTCATGAATTTCTGTAAATACCTATCAGGACGTCTCTCCGATTGGCTCGGCTTTCCTACTTGGGCGTTGAAGTCGCCTGCTAGTATGCCTATATCTAAACGTCTTACTGTCTGTAGCAAAGTCATTAGCTTCTGATAAAGTTTTTCCTTTGCATCATCCGAACTGATGTCGATAGGCGCTTTCGGACACCAGTCTGTGGAGTCCCTGACTTCTGGTCTAAGTCGTGTAGCGAGGTGTAAACTGCCTGGTGGAAATCCTCTAGACGATGGAAGTCAATGGGGACTCAGTGATGTGGCCGAAAATCGGTCATTGACGCCGATGTATTCGTTTGACATCTTCAAATTCCTTCTCCCATAAATTTTTGTTTACTTTGATATCACTCTTTTACTCACTTGTTCTTAGCATGCTGTTGTGAGGTGTAGCGAATTGAACCAGTGCACTTGTATGCAAGGTTGTACGTTGATTTTACCTGCCTGTCTGAATTCTTGACTTGTGTTACGCTTTTGCTCAGACCTCAATGGATAAGGAAGGTCTAAACCCATCATCCATGAACTCATTTCACTCTATTGAGTGAAAAGAGAAATTATCGTACCATTACATGAAATCTGCTCTGTTAAAAGTACAACCACTTGTTTGTTTTTCATATCCACCTAACCTTTTTCAGGAGCCTTAGGGTTGTGACTTACAATTGTAAACTTGATTACCAGCTATAAGGTTACAAGTTCAAATTCTGTAAGGCTGTGGCTAATTTGCTGAGATGCTCGAATTTCAACTATCAATCCGTAGTTTATGTATCAATGTTGTATCACTACCCTAACATCATTGGTGTTACACATAGGTAGTAAATAAATCTGCAAATGACTAATGAATTACACCATCGTTATCAATCTAAAGTTATCAGACAGTATCATTCAATATTACACAATCGATGTAAATTACGGCCTTGTACGTTAGTATAAATGGTTGTGTGTATCATATACATTTTAACCTTTGTATTAAGGCTTTTTTATTTCTTTTTTTTCTTTTTTCTTTTTTTTCTTTTTTCTTTCCCGACCGATAGCTGCTACCTTGACGTGGTGGTCGGGCTTGCATATCACAATGACCCAACGAGCTATGCTGGTGGAACGCTTGTTCCCTCGAGGTCCTACCATACCAGAAAGGTCTGTTGGGTAGTGGTTAGACGAAAAGCAGTTACCGTTATAGTGTAAATTGCTACACTATGATGGGGGTCTGAGGGCGAAGTCGTACTGCTGCTAGCTGGATGGGGTGTGACAGCAGTAAGGTGTTTCCCTTGGATGACCAGCAGTGCCATGCTGATGCTGCCTTCTCAGTGGAAGGGGGGGTTAGAAAAGGTCGGCCCCAAAAATAACACACTCCACCACGCCCCACGGTCTGCCGGGCCGGCGGTGTTGGTTCACTTGTCGTTTCCTTTCGCTCATCCGGCCCCAAAAATACAAAAATTCAAAATAATCATACTCAAAAGGCTGGGTGTGACAGGCCTCAAGCAGATGTCCGATGGGCTCTGCGGTCACACAAATCTCTTTCAGGTACCTTAAGAAGAAATAGCCTTCCACGGTGTGGGCAGCCGGGAAGTGTCAACCGCCCTCACAACTCTGTCAGCACCCAAGTTTCTTCTGACTGCTATCCTCCTCCTCCATCATTACCTTCTAATCTTCCTTCACGTCTCTTAATTAATGATGCTGCATCATCTTCAATTTCTCCTACCTCTGCAGCCTTCGACAACGATCTGAGTCCACAGAACAGCATCCCTGGTCTCCTTAAACCACGCTCCAAATTACATATTGGAGCCTTCAATGTCCGCACCCTCCGTCAAATTGGCCAACAGGCTTCGTTGGCAAAGACTCTAGCAACTCGGGCATGGATGTGTGCTGTGTTTGTGAGACACGCATACAGGACCCAAGTGTGGTTATTCACCTGACCTCTCCTGACCAATCTGGTGAATCTGCAAAATTCACCCTTCGAGTTTCTGGAGATTCGATAGCTAGCTCTCGTGGTCTTGCAGGTGTAGGTATAGCATTAAGCACCAGGGCAGAAAACTCACTACTAGACTGGATCCCAGTTGATAGTCGCCTCTGCGCTATGAGGCTGAACGGCACAGTGAGAACTAAAAGGAATAGTGAGACTCGCCGTTGTCTCTTTGTAATCTCTGCTTACGCACCCACTGACTGTAGTTCGGATGAAGTGAAGGACGAGTTCTACCATAAACTGTCTAACCTCCTCTCGAAAGCCAAACGTTCGGACGTAGTGGTTGTTGCAGGTGACCTCAACGCACAGGTGGGTAGACTGAGTGAGGCAGAAAGGCACTTAGGTGGCACTTTCGGAATCCCAGCTGAACGTACAGATAACGGTGATCGCCTATTACAACTATGCTCAGATAACCGCCTATTTTTAGCCAGCACAAATTTCAGACATAAAGAAAGGCACTGTCTGACCTGGCGTCCACCGAGCTCGACTCAGCGATGGACACAGATAGACCACATTGCTATTAGTCATCGCTGGAGAGGATCGGTGGAAGACTGCCGCTCCTTCTGGAGTACGTGTTTGGACAGCGATCATGCGTTGGTCCGAGCACGTATATGCCTGCGTCTCAATGGACGTAGAAAAAATTTGGCAACAAAACCACTACGAGTTCTGCTGGACAACGAAAACACCAAAGCCGTGTTCAGTGAGAAGTTGGCTAGGCAGTTATCGGAACAAAAGACTGTCACTCATCCAGAAGAAGCTTGGTGCCATCTTCAGTCTACTGTAAAAGCAGCACTGGAGACTGTAGCCGACTCCAAGATAATGGCTAAAAAGAGCCAGTGGATATCAGCAGCTTCTTCCAAACTAATGGATGCACGTGAATGCATCCCTGCAGGCTCTGAGTACAATGAAGAGCGAGCGCAACTTAAAAATAAACTGACGAAAAGTCTGCGCAACGATCGTGAACAGTGGTGGGCAGCAAAGGCTAAAGAGATGGAAAAGGCAGCGGCGATCGGTAACAGTAGACAGTTATTTAGACTTATTAAGGAGACTGGGGGGAAATGGTCAACAACAGTTAGTGAGGTTATAGCGGAGAAGGACGGATCGGCGATTCACTCGCAGGGAAGGCGACTGGGACGATGGGCAGAACACTTTGAGGAACAGTTTAACTGGCCTCCAGCCACCATTGCGCTGCCCGCTATCCAGTCGGACCCTGAATGGGACATAGAGACAGGTCCCCCAACACTAGAAGAAGTTGAGAAAGCGGTAGGTAGCCTGAAACGGGGAAGGGCAGCAGGACCAGACGGACTACCTGCTGAGGTATACAAGAATGGTGGTAGAGTTCTCTTAGTCAGGCTAACGGAAGTGTTAGCCAGTATATGGGAATCAAATACGATCCCCTCCGACTGGTCTAAGTCACTCATCATCCCAGTCTTCAAGAAAGGCGAGAAGTCCTCTTGTGATAACCACAGAGGAATCAGCCTGACAAACATAGTGTCTAAGATCCTAAGTTCTATAATTCTCCGACGCCTGAGTGGAGCTCGGGAACAGCAAGCCCGAGAAAACCAGGCAGGCTTTAGACCTGGCCGTGGATGTATCGACCAAATATTCACACTGCGCCAGGTCCTGGAACATAGGCATGCTTACAGACGCCCGACAATAGCTGTATTTCTCGACCTGAAGGCGGCATTTGACTCCGTTGATCGAGAAGTCTTATGGCAGTGTCTGTCACTGAAAGGCGTGCCTAGTAAGTACATCACCTTATTGAAAGCTCTCTACTCGAACACTTGTGGGCATGTTAGAGCCTATGGTGAGTTGTCCAGGGAGCTATACTCATCAAGTGGTGTCCGTCAAGGATGCCCACTATCCCCATTCTTATTTAATTTTATCATAGATATTCTTATGGAGGTTTCCCTCTCGTCACCTAATTACAAAGACGTTGACCGGATCACAGGTGAATTTTCCTTAGATCTAGAATATGCAGATGACATAGTCCTGTTAGGTGAAGACGCTGACAAGATGCAGAGTCTTCTGAACACTTTGAGTGGGAATTTGAGAATGTTTGGGATGCGATTTTCACCACCCAAATGCAAATTTTTGCTCCAGGACTGGTCTTCAGCGGTACCGCGGTTAACAATAGAGAGTGAAGTGGTTGAGTGTGTTGACCACTTCACTTACCTGGGAAGTAGGATCAACCCGGTGGGTTAGTTGCCGATGAGATTTCTGCACGGATACAAAAGGCTCGATTGGCTTTTGCCAATTTGCGCCACCTATGGCGCCGCCGTGATATTCGTTTGTCTATTAAGGGTCGCGTGTACTGCACAGCAGTCCGCTCTGTTCTACTGTATGGCTGTGAAACATGGCCATTGAAAGTGGAAGACATGAGAAGGTTACAGGTATTTGACCACCGTTGCCTTCGTAGTATAGGACGTATTCCGTGGTGTCACCATGTGAGTAATGCAGAAGTTAGGTGTAGAGTTTTAGGGAGAAGAGGTAAGTCAGTCGACGAGGTTGTGAACCTTCATCGACTGAGATGGTTGGGACACGTACTACGTATGCCTAGTCACCGATTGCCTCGTCACACAATGTTGGCTGAGGTGGGTTCAGGCTGGAAAAAGGCCCGAGGTGGCCAGACTAAAACATGGCACCAATGTATGAAGTCTCTGACTGTTGGTTTAAGCCATGTAGGACGATGCAGACTAGGTGGTTGGGGTCCACGGGACAAGAGGAACCAGTGGTTGGAGACCCTAGGTGATATGGCTCAGAACCGAAGTCAGTGGCGCAGATGTATACACACATTATCCTCATCTTAACAACGCTATACCGAATCTCACTATTTTGTCACTCCTCTTTCCTTTCTTCTCGTACTTTATATTTCTTTTGACTGCATTCACTTATCTTCATCCTTCACCTCACTACCTTTTACTTGATGTGCTGATATGAGGTGTGGCAACTCGGACCGTTACGCAGTAATGCCTGGTCCTATGTTGATAATGATGATGATGATGATGATTTCTTACCAATTGTACACGCTTAGTACTTATAGATTCGTCTTTTTTGTTGTTGTTTATTCCTACTCAGATCAAATGCAGGCCTATTTATTCCACAGTCCCCTTTGGATATTGTTTTATTGGAACCTAATTTGGTTGTTCCTACTGATGACCAGAATTTATTACAATGTTTGCTAGATCACCATGCAAAGTTGATACCATCCTCTGATTCTCAGCATGCCTTGACGAATTTATGTAATCGGATATGTGAAATTTTAGATAAGATTATTATAAATCCATCTATATTTGAATCTGGGGTATGTTGCTACAACTATTGTTTGTTTTTCAATGTGACTTTATAATTCGCCTATTGTAGACTGTCTATCCTATTTTGCAAATAAGATTATTTTTTAATAGTCACTTAACTCATTCGAGTGACGATTAACTAGTTAGGGTACCAAAAATATCAGTGGTGAGGTTATACATACAACTATGTATTCTTATGAATTGGACATGATATATCTAAACCCCACCTCACGTGTTACGGTTTCGATGTCCATGCTCGCATCGTTCACCATATACGACGCATAGTAGGCTGAATAGTAAGTAGGCATTGTCTGTCCCATCAACAGAATCAGAGTTGGTATTGGTGTCCTATTCTATCTGTGTATCTTACTGTTATAACTTACAGTATGGAGGAGGAAGAAGTTCACTTGTCTTACCGTTCGCTAACGTTACGTAAGTTTCAGGACTATTTCAATAGTTGCCGCAATTCAAGATGAATGTTTTCTTAAGACTGTTGAATGACTAACTAGTTAATTATTGTAAAAGATATATCAAGAGACTGTGGGTTGAATGCACTGTTTGAATTTTTCTATCATTATCAATAAGCTACAGAGAACTGGATTGCTGTGGAATACGGGCTTTTAGGAAGCACGTGCACTAAAACAAGGCTTTTACACTCACTCTCCTTTTACACTGGGATAATGTGACTGAGACTCATGTCATTCTTGAAACTTGTTGGGGCTCACTGCTTTTTTCTATTCATTACCTCGTAACAGGCATCACCCTATTTTCAGGCTGCTGAATGGAAACTTTATGTCTTGTTCGATTGACTTATGGTGCAGTACTGAATGATGGAAGGGTCACTAGAGCTCAGATAGACTCTCTTGGTGCTCAATGAGATAAAAATCTCACGAAAATATGCTTTTCTAGTAATCTGAAACACTGAAAATGTTACCTGCTAACAACATCTCTTCTTTAACCACCACTTGCTATCTTTCTTCAGATATTAAGAGCTATTGAATGCAGTTGTTACTTATCCACCAAGTGAGATGTAGATAGGTAGCATCGCCAACTATCGCACAATACAGACTATTTACTGTCAGTCTTTAATTAAACACCAAGACGTGGTTTGAGTTATATTTCTTGTTGTTATTCCGTCGAGTTGACTCACAAAAATACCTAATTTTCGACACCATTACTGGTACTATTCCAGACGAGTTATAATTATTGTAACTGAAATGTTATCACTAGTTTTCTTATTTCTCACTCTATTAATTTTGTCATCGGATACTCTTTCAGCAATTGGAACAAGTTCGTCCTGTAGGATCTTTCAAAATGGGCACATGGTTGAATGGTTCATGTACAGCTGATTTAGCCTGTGTATTTCGTACACTTCCAACCCTTGAAGCTGTACAAAATTTGGCCAATTTTGTACGTAATCAACTGACAACTAATAAATCACCAACTGAGTATGTTAATTGTAAAGTTAAACTGGAGAGCTATGGATTTTCGGTGACTTCAGGCGATTATATTGTCAAACTTTTAATCACCACTACGCCAATAAATTTGAATAAAACAACACCTGATATACACAGTTAGTTTAAGGCATTCTTTTTGTTGGATTTTTGAAGCTGGATTACGTTAAAAAACGAATGACCAAAGGTTATCAAAATAATGCATGTGAAGATATATCTCCTTGGTTTAAGCATCTTACTTTCAAGAAATGCGTCGAGTTGAAGTCCTGCCTCGCTTCCTTCGGTCTGGTTAGCGGGTTAGTATTATAAGCCTTCACACTATATGAGGCTGATAACCTAGTGTATGAACATTTACCAGGTCGTGTTGCATTAACTGAATTTCAACCACTACAGAGTAACAATCCATAAAGTTACTGACTAGTAGTTTGAATCATGTGGATAGTATGTCGTCTGGCTTATCAAAGATCTCGGAAATAGAGATGTGACAAGTTGTTTGATGTACTTGGCTTCCAATGTATGTAGCTTGTTATTTCGAATCCCATGGTGTGTGCAACTCTTCCACTGTACTTGAATCTGTACACATTTACTGGGTGTTACTATATGTCATAGGGATTTATCATTGGAGACTGATTCTGTTTGACAAAAATCTATCTCTGTGCTTCAGATTTATTGAATCTTTATCTTCCATTAAACTGTGGGCATATCTCTGCTTGTTTATTCGAATAAAATTATGTTTTGAAAGAAGAACAAGTATTTCAGCTTTTCAGCAGTTTCATTTTCAAAGCAAATTTACACATATTTCTAGTCTAAGGATTTGATAGTTAAAAACAGTTTGTCAAGCATGACAACACAAGTAGTGTCAATAAGTGAGCTGTCATTAAAATCATAAAACGAAAACTGATGAGTAGTGAATGCTAATCAAAATAAGTCTAGACAAGAAGTTTCGTAACAGCAACGTAGTTGGATACTGAATTGTGGTCAGACAAAGCATAACAATAAGCAATAGCAACAATAGCAAACTACTTAAGAAGTGGATAGTGTCATAACAGAAAAGTGAAAAGGTAGGGGTAGGGGGGGGGTAGAGGAGACTTCAAAGACTGGAGGGAGAAGGGTCTGAACAATCTTCTTTTTGCGTACACAGTTAGGTTTCTCCATATGGATGGCAATAGGTTCAGGGATGCAGAAAGTACCAAAACATCAGCCTTTGGAAGGTTTGTTTTTACTTTATAGATGACTTTAAACGAGGAGGTTCTTGAGATAGCGTGATTCGTGTTCAATTATAGCGCTCCTGTTTCGAATTGTGAAACCTCTGTTAGCAGATGAATTATTTGGATGTGTTGATACTATCTGGGTATTCACTATGTTTTAGTTTATTTGGTGGTTTGAAGTGGGATCTAAGACGTCCATTTCTTCCTATTTGGGACTCAATAGCTGGATGTACCTGGACACCAGTGAGTAGTAGTGTTCCCCTATCGATTCGAACGCCAAGGCGTTGTTCACTAAGCCACTGAGGCATGAGAGCCACTTGTGCAACGGTTATCAGTTGCTATTCATTGGTACTTGTAATTTCCAGTTTTTATGCTGGATCAAATTGTTCGACCTCTGTTGGCGGATTAGCTCCTGTACAGTTGCCTCGATACTGTCTGAATATTCATGTTGTGGTCTGATTTCTGTTCACAAGTAAAATGTATCTTCTTTACTTTTGTTAAGGTCATTCCATATACAGCCTATCTGAACTGCGCGCATGCAGTTACATCTTGTTTTAATGCCTTCAGCCAAATGCATTATAATTTACGACATTTCAGGTATTATTTTAAAACATTCATTTTGTCATTTTCAATTAGTGGGCAACAATTCGTATTAGAACAAGATAGTTGCGTAAACTTTTGCCTGTGCTTAATTTTCGTAGGATTTAGTGCTAAAAAATGAGTTTGCAGTTCACTCATTCTTAATATATATATTAAACTCTATCATAGTTATTGTTAAAGGTCGAGGGATGATGATAGTACTCCCTGGTTGTCAAAGCCTGGGTTTGTTTTGAAGTTGTGTGCCTAGATTACTGAGCTATACCTGTGCCTCTGTAATACACCTCTCTGTTTCATGTGTTTAGACGGTTCATCTCTGTAGAATCTCCAAAAAGTAATCAGGATATGGATTGCAGTTCCTGGTACACAGGAACACTCCAATAGTTTGATCATTTCTAAAACTTAGCTTGCCATCATAGTTTTGTTTTATTTTTTTAGCAGTATGGGACCATATTTATGTCCTGCATTAAGTGTAGTAGTATACCATCTTTTGTGATGAGTACTTAACGTGGTGTTCGCGCGGAATTTTCGTCACTGTTTACTAAATAATACGTTAGTGTACTTTGTTGGTCTATTTCTTAAACTGTGAATGATTGGGTGGGGATCGACCGTCTCTGATTTCAGCATGTAGTGTCAGAAGTTTTTATTAGTTTAGAGATGAGTTATCGGAAGTACGGAGTGCGCAGCAATTGGTTTTTTGCAACCTGAATTCCTAAATACCACACACTGATTGACTCTCAATACTGAAAAAACAGTTCCGCCCTATCGTAATGTAACTGTTATCGCATTCCAACTGAGTTTCCTAACTACAATGTGTTCACTGTGGGATTGTAAACTGCTCGATTCTATCCTAAAAAGATGCTTTTTCGTAGGATTGATGAAGAGTTCATAATAAGATCGTCGATCGACGTGAAGTTTTGTTAATTGTCGTCAGTCTTTCACTTGGCAATGCATCTTCTAAACAATCTCTTCTTTAATTCAGTTAATTTAGTGGCTCAAAAAACTGCTTTGGCTTCAATTCGGCATTTAAGGTGGGCAGAAGAGAATGCTACACACACTACGTAAGTCAATTTCATATTCCTCTTATATGAATAATCATTTCTTATCTAGCGTGAAAGTTTTAATTCGTATCTTGAAAGATTTTCGACGACGTTTTCGAGCCTTTAGCTACATGAATTCTTGGTTAATTGATCTATTGGTGAGCTGAGTAACATTTGCGTAATGTATTTATAATTAATTGATTGTAGGGTTATTACGCTGTTATGAATAATCCATCACGTCAACCGTTACCACTTAACCATGCATTTCGGTGAGTTTATCGTTGTATTGTGACTTTGTAACTTTTTGTTCTCGTCTGTCGACAACGCTGGGATATATACAGTATTTATCGTTGTGAATGTAACTGGCTTCATTAGTATCTTAAGCTATTTATGTTGTTTCATTCTGTAGGTTTATGTACATTGAGTGTAGATTGACTAACATATTTACTATCCCCTCTACCGTGACATGAGACTGTTTTTAGCGAACAACTGTTTTTCTACTTCCATCAACAAAGTGTCTTTTGTCTCTGCGTTCTCCTACTTAGTGGATTCCTTATTATTCATAAAAATTTCTTGATTTTCTGCTTCATAACATGTCTTATATACGACGACACCTTAGAGCTAAAAATTATCGGAAACCCTCAACTACTGTGAATATCTTTTCAAGGGTCAAAGTTTCATCTGGAAAACGAAATTAGGCATACTATTGGCGTGTACAGTCAATCCACTAGACTGTAAGACACTCGTTGTTTAATGTCTAGCATTACAGTGCATATTTCTGAACTAGTGGTAATGGCATTTGAATTTGTGACTTAACTGCCTTCAGTAGTTGAGCTGCTGTGCCACACCTTTGGTTTGTTGATCAATATTCTGATCTATTTCAGTGTAGATCACACCAAGTTAGACCAATACACAATTCTACCACTCTATACTTTGGTTCTATGTGTTTCTGTCTCTAATATTATAGTCTGTTTATAAGGCCTATTCTTAAAAGTCACTTGTCGAAGGATTATACTGTTTTCAATCTATTCATAATTCCTGACATGTTTAGGACAGTGGATGCTGTTTTCAACTAATAAGAATAAAATAAAAGTCTGTTTTTCAGTTATCTTCCATTATAAAATAAAAAAATACACCAATACTTTCATATTTTGAGGTTGATGGTTCTTTAAAAATTTTTACGGTAGTATTCATCATGGATTGACATCCGTTGGAAAACCATTGAAAGCCTAAAAGCTCTGGACAACTGTTTCGTTCTAACATGAAACTTCTCAGTAGTGCAAACCCATAACCCCACCTCATCAGGGATGAAAACGAACCCAGAACTTTCAGATTTTGTGGAGGGCACGTTATCATTACAGCACTGGGTCGGAATCCAATTGTCCACATTTTCCTACTTTTCAATTCTCGATGTAGAGCGACCCTCATTCAATGATGTTGAGTATTTGTCCTTACGTCTGACTCAGCTTGCCCCATCGGTCATGACTTCTTATTAAGAATGGAAAAATGTGGACCGTTAGATTCCCGACCAGTGCCTCAGCTTTAACGTGCTCTCTGTGAAACCTCAAGGTCCTGGGTTTATCCCGATCCCTGACGGGATAGGGTCATGAGTGCGCACTGCTGAGGAGTCCCGTACCAGGTCGAAAAAGCTGTCCATTACTCAGGTTTTCATTAGTTCTCCAACCGATGTCCATCTATGTTGAATACCGAATTGAATAACCGAAGGCTGTTGATTAGAGTACTTGAGATGGTTGTATTTTGACAGAGTAGTTTTAATATAAGGAGATTCTGATTGAAATGAGAACGGAAACCTGAATTTGAGCACAATTTTAAAGCTTCCTCTTGTGAATCGTATCATGATTCAGATTTTCATTTCAACTTCATTCAGCATCTTAATGACTGTATTCGTATCGGTATTCAAACTAGACAAAAATTATTTTGAATAACAGAATGTCACGATGGGGAATACACATGAAATTCATGTATCCTACGAAGTTCAAATCCCCTCTGCCTTTAGAAAGGATTAAAAAGTCAGACCTTCGTAATTGTAAATCACTCGAAACGAAACGAAACCCACTCAGTCACCTTATACACGTTATTGCAGTAGGTAATGAGCCACATATCTACTATGTGAGGACTGATGATACCACCTGGCTGCCCAAACCTAGATAGGTGGGACGGGGTTCGAACCTGCCACCTACCGGTTGTAAATCAGTCCCCGAAACCAATGAACCACCTATCCTCATATACACAAACACCCTGATTTACAAATTATTGTTTTGCATTAAGTCGCTTTCCATTGGAAAGGTGACCCCCAAAAGTAGACTATGGTTTAACTTCGTCAGATCTTCACCTTCTGACTATCCAAACGAGAAGTTTCATTCATTGCTTACCTAGCTCACTGTTATCATTTTTACATTGTTAACTGTACATAACTTAAACAAGTAAATAAGTGCAGTCTGAGTTGCTTGTGATCATTTTTACTGAAAATACTTTTTCCCGTATTATCTTTCTTACTAGACGTGTATTGTATTTGTTGGCCAGTGGTTTCCTTCTTCCGGGTAGTACAGGTTTAATTGATCCATGTGAACCAGGATATATGCGTGTCCACTCGTTTATGACACCTGTTGAACAGGTCAGTGTGTGTGTACTGAAGTTTCTATTTTAGTTTTTCTCTCTTTCGTACCCCTCCTCCCCACCCTACTTTTATGGTAACCAGTCATTAACATTACTGCACAACAGTCCAAGTTGCCACACTTCATATTAGTGCACTAGAGTAAAAGGCACCATAATGAAAGAGAAAAACAAAGAAGAAAGTAGTGAAAAGTAATGGGAAGGAGAACAAGGTGGAGCGAAAACAACATTTTTTTCAAGTTAGTGTTTATCATGAACCGACGCCAGTTGGAGGGACATAGGGAAACCTGGGAGTACTGGACAGCCGTTTCGTCTTAGCACGGAGTTCCTCAGCAGTACGAACCCATGACCCCACCCAGCCAGGGATCGAACCCGTGACCTTCAGGTTCCATGGCCAGCACTTTACTATTGAGCCACTGGGTCGGCGGAATCCAATGGTCCAGATTTCCAACTTCTGTCAGTTCACGAAATAGCGCGATCGCCACCCAATGTCATCGTTGGGTATTTGTCCTTATGGCTACCAGGTTTGCCCCACTGGTCACTTCTCACTGGAACTTCGGGAATCACTTCTCGAAGCTGGTCACTCATGAGCAGTAGTTCAATTGAATTTGGGGATTTGTGGGGAACTGACAGAAGTTGGAAATATAGACCATTGAATTCCGCCGACCCAGTGGCTTAATGGTAATGTGCTGGCCACGGAACCTGAAGGTCACGGGTTCCATCCCTGCTGGTGGGGTCGTGGGTGCGCACTGCTGACGAGTCCCATACTAGGAGGAAACAGCTGTCCAGTACTCCCAGGTTTCCTTTCTTCCTCCAACTGATGTCAGTCTTCGATGAATAACAACTTGAAATATTTCCAAATCTCCACAACCCCCTCAAAATTTAATTGAACTAGTGCTCCTTGGTGACTAGCTTCGAGAAGTATTCCCGAAGTTCGAATGACAAGTCGTGACCGGTGGAGTCAAAGCCTGATGGCCGTGAGGACAAATACTCAACGATGACATTGGGTGGCGGTTTGCGCTATATCGTGAGCTAAGAGAAGTTGGAAATATGGAGCATTGGATTGTGACCCAGTGGCTCAATGGTAACGCGCTGGTCGCGGAACCTGAAGGTGGCGGGTTCCATCCCTGCTGGTGGGGTCGTGGGTGCGCACTGCTGACGAGTCCCATACTAGGACGAAACAGCTGTCCAGTACTCCCAGGTTTCCAATGTTCTTCTAACTGATGTCGGTCCATGATGGATACCAACTTGAAAAAAATCTCTAAATCCCACGAACCCTTAAATTCAAAGACATTGCAATTCGGTATCACAATTAAGATGTCTGGATACATCCACAGCACTGAGATCGGTTCACAACCATATCATCCACAGTCTCCAACCTCCGATTTCGGTTGTCACACTCACTCCAACCAGAAGTGTACATCTCTTTATATGGCTTACATCAACAGTCAAAGTGTTTATGAGGTGATACCATATTCCCTTCTGATTGGCTTTAACCCTTTCCTGGTCTGAACTTAATCACTTGTGTCAACATTATCCGATGAGGGTAGACGGTGACTGGCCGAGCATGCGTAACACATGTCTCAGCCATCTGAGTTGTTGATTAACTGACTTACCTCTCCTACCTTAAACTGTACATGTGACTTCAATGATGCATAGTGCTTCATGACTGCCCATACCGTAGATTACTTTTTCTTAAAGTGCTTGAAGAAATTGGATTGGTAATAATGCGGGACATTTGCACGAAGTTGGTCACACGTAGCCTTTCTTGAAGTTCTAAGTTTGTGTTTTTTTAGTTCGGTTACAAAGCCGTACCGCCAGCACCAGAAGACTGAAGAAGGGAGTGTGCCATTTTTGGCGTCTACCTTTTGTAACTCCCTTTCCCATAAAGAAGACAGCATCAGTATGGTCATCCTCCGGAACTATCTTATTGCTGTCACACACCATCCGATCAACAATACGACTGCCCTCAGAACCTCATCACGGCTAAGGTCTTTATAGTATGACGATAACTGCTTTCTATCCAACAAACTCTTCTAGTATGGTAGGATCTCAAGGAACAATCACTTCAACCGGGTAGCTGGTTGAGTCATTGAGATAAGCAAACCTGACCACCATGTCAAAGTAGCACCTATCGGTCAGAAATATTAAATAACCCTAGAGAGTGGGATACTGTTAGTTTTGTTTTGCAGCGTCCGTTCCCGAGAGAAGAAACATCCATTCTACGTGTTTTTTAAACATAGGATATTTATTCGGTTACCTTACCAATAGTGAGACTGGTTTAAAAACTTAATTTTGGGATATTTCTGGAAGGAAGTTACTTTCCATGCGTTGTTGCAGATTTATCACTTTAAGCATGTTAATTATTAGGGGGGAATGCCTATCTATGACTTCAGGTTAGGAAGTGCAGAGCGGTGAATTCCAACCCCAACTGGTCACCAAACTTGAGGAAATAAAACTCTCAAATTGTCTAATGCTAGTTAGTATTTAACTTTGTTCTGGATAATAATGATCCGTCATACAGCACCACCACCTTGAAATCGATCAGCTTCCCATAAACTATCCCAATGAATAATGAAGCAATCGCTTTATTATACAAGGCAGTAATTAGTCCTGGATACTTGGTAATGATTGAAGGTAAAATGAAAATTTGGACCCCAGCCGGATTCGAACTAGCGACCACTGGGTTTCCGACCCGATGCTCTATCAACTGAGCTACGAGGCCCGACTGCTGACCAGATTTTTATTTCAGTAAGATTTGGATTTGGATGAGAAGTCCTAACTAGGCAACTAATGCGAATACGACCAAGCGGCATTAACGCGTCACAAATTCACATAGTAGTCGGGTGAAGCCCTTGGTGACCCAGTATCAATACTAGTCTGCCAAACCACGGCCATCTCAGTGAGAATGATATTTTTGGGTAAGTATGGAATCGTTATCATGCAATATTGCAACAGATTTACTTCTTTCACAACATTTCAAACGTGATAATGCTATTATAGTCTTGTGGGGATTAATAGTGTAACACAGGATATCAGTGTTGCATCCTGTTTCGGATGTACCTTGATATTAGTGAATGATTGTGTTCCCATTGAGAAGTGAATCCAGCAGTCATCGCTTCAACCACTGGAGCGTTATCCACCGGGCTATAGAGGCATATAAATCATGATAGCAAAGCATCGTTACCATGATAGACTGTAGAATTTGTCAAACAAATCTTCCATAGAACCGAACCGGGTAGTTTTAAGGGGATTTCAAGGAGCGTTCATATACTAAGAAGAGAGTGGTCAGTTCAATCATTGGGGGGGGGGGATACAAGCATCAGTAGGTAGCTAAATAATGGTGGCATTTTAATAATCTGAATGGGGGGAGGGAGGAGGATAGTAAATAATCATCGTAAAAATGAAATATTTGTTGATTTACAATTATAAAATTGATAATGAACTTTGTTTTATGTATTGGTTGGTCACGAGAGAGCAACCGATTCCATGTTATCTCTAGTCCTAAGTGTAGATCGAATCCAGTCAATGATATTTACAATGTGGCCATCAAACTAGGAGGCTTAGCATCGCAGTGCACATTAGTGGATGACAGCTCGAGTGACGCGTGTTCGAATCTCCGGCGAGACATCAGTTTCATCAAGGTTGCAGGTATACCTTGCTGGCGAGTGCCTTCAACCAACTGGAACTTTGTTTTAACATTTCAGAATGATTAAGTCATCATGGAAATTAAGTACATCTTTCCTTTCATCATATCTGTACCCCTAATTCAGCTAAATATTGTAAACACTCATGTCAATTTCAAGTTTACACAGAAGCAAGAGATTTTCTATACACCCATTTCCTTGCAACTTAAATCCAAGTTAAAAAACAAAAGGAGTAAAGTTGAATACAGTTCATACACTGAAGCTGAAGAACTGTAGCAATGATTATGTAGAATAATCCAATGATGAGCGATTTCCACTATACTGTGAACAGTAATTGGAGCATGTAACTCAGTGGTTTAAAGAGATGGCATTTAACCAATAGGTCGCTGGTTCGAACCCCACTCCACCAAGCAAAATCTAGACAAATAAGCAGTAGTATTATCATTAGCCCTCACACAATAGCTGTATGACTTATTGCCTATTGAATAAATGTGCACAAGTGTATAAAGCGCTGATTTCAAAATCTTTGGATCATTTGTTAAAACTTGGTTGTATTGTGTTCTCTTAGCTGGGCTGTTTAATCGTGGAGGTTTCATCATCCTTCTAGACGACATCATCAGCAATAACTTCAGTATGAAGTGAGCTATCAATATCTCCCCTTGGTGGTTTAGTAGCTTTCCATGATGAAGTGGTTTGTGATTGGTTGTTTCCTTTGATTGTTGTGTTGGCTGTTGGCTGTTCCTCTGCTTGACCTCTAACCTTTATGTCTCCCATATTTTTTCTTATTGGTTGATAGATTGGGTCTATATCTGTACATCTATTAATTGCTGATTGACTGACCTGAATGTTAAGCTTCTAGGAATTCTCTTATGATATTCTTTGTGTTTCCTCTCTCCGTCCAAAATGTCTACATTGTCAACATTGAATTCATATGCATTGAAATGAGTGATGAAATGTCCTTTGTGAAGTTTACTAGCCAATTGGTGCTCATGTAGACGAAGGCAGAGGTGGTGCAACCACTTTGTCTAATGTAGTGTGTTGACTACAGTTATTGCAGTTGATTTTGTAAATGATATTCTGTTTGTCTTTTATTATTTTTTTAAGCAGCTACTAATGAATTAATATTTTACTGACATAACATTCGGATAGTCAAGGTATCAAAAGAGATTTGTTGAACTCGGAAAGTATCTATAAAATTATTAAATAGGATATCTTAGTGAAATGTAAATTCTGTCAACAGTAAAAAAAAAAGTCAGGAAAAAAGATACACAATAACTCAAGCCTAGTTCCAATCAAATTGTATAATTGAAAGCCTGAAAGAAGTGACATTTTGATACTATTGTACAAGCAACAAAATTTTCCTTTTTTTGGAAGTAGTATTCGTCGTGGACTGACGTCAATTAGGAACCATTGAAAATCTGAGGGCATTGGACACCTGTTTCGTCCTAGTATGGGACTCCTCAGTAGTACGCACTCACGACCCGGCTAGGGATGGAACTCAGGGCCGTCAGGTTTCATAGCGAACACGTTAACCATCCAGCCACTGGGTCGGTTTCCAGTGGTTCACAATATCCAACTTTGTCAATCCACGACATAGCGCGACTATCACCCAAGTCTTCAGTTAGCATCCTCTTCACTTGCAAGGGGTTGACCCTACAGGTGACGGCTTCCCACTAGAGCTTCCTGATATTCATCTGGATATCCCCATTCATCTCGAAAATACATTACTGTATAGTGCTCATTAGTGACATGCTTCCAGATGGATATCAGGAAGGTGTAATGAGAAGCCGTGACCTGTGGGGTAAACCAGTCGGAAGTGAAATGGATGCTACTGAAGAACTTGGGTGATAGTCGCGCTATGTCATGAATTGACAGAAGTTGGAAATTGTGAACCACTGGAAACCGACCCAGTGGCTGAATGGTTAACGCGTTCGCCGTGAAACCTGACGATCCTGAGTTTTCCCTAGCCGGGTCGTGGGTGCGTACTGCTGAGGAGTCCGTACTAGGAGGAAACAGGTGCCCAATGCTCTCAGATTTTCAATGGTTCCCCAACTGATGTCAGTCCATGATGAATACCACTTCTAAAATAAAAAATCCCCATTCATCTTAAAAAAATTTTTCATCAAACTCTCAGGCTAAGTAACTTAAAAGGGGTACAGGAGACGGCGGGAGGGGGAGGAAGATTGAAGAACACGTGAGTTAACTAAAGAGAATGTAATCGACAGCATTCACTACTCAAATTTCATCACTAATCTAGTCATTAAGAGAAGCGTTATCAGTGAAAACCAACTTGATAAATTATAATTTACTCCTATATATTTCTGCGTAAACATTATTATTGTTTTTCTTCTCTTTTTTTTCGGAAAAATTTATCATTGTTATTCCAACTGTATCGTAAAATAGGATGAAATATGTTGTACTGCACAAGTAATGCTACGTGTTCTTATTCATGGTGGATATGCGTTACTTTTCATGCATAGCGATTTGGATGATGCTTCCAGAGGTACGTTATACTATTCATATATAATGTGAAATTGTTATTCAGTTGTGTGTGTATAGTTACTTGACTGGGTAGCTAATGAGTCACGCTTTCAAACCCCCTAGTCTTTATACTAGTGTTAAAGTTTAAGCAGTCAAGTAGTGTTATTAACCATGATACAATAGGTTTGATTCGTCGCTTACTGCACAATTGTGCGTATGTTTGCTTACTGGATTTGGATTTTCTAGTTATTTGACTAATATTTCTCTTGTTGGTAATCAATCTGGTGCATAAATTCGGTTTATGGTCGTGTAGGGAGGGAGGTGTAGACTACCTGCAATGGGGTCCCCGAGACAATGGGAATGAATCTGTGGTTAAGTATTCTTGGTAAAATGACCTCAGATTGACCACAATGGTACAGATATATTCATTTCTTTAGTGTTTTGACTGTAAAGTGATACACTAGTTTGTGATTCTGTTTGTCTGGTGCATAAATATTTCTCACTGCCAAGCACGATGTCCTACTTACTAGAAAGTAGGGAATCGAATTCAAATTTAACACATAGTTTACTGATTTTTCCCTCTATTAATCATCATACATTTTCCTACAAACTGTTTTATAAATTATGATTTGACTATCTAAGATAACCGTAGTTTGGCAGACTAGTATTTTGTACTAGGTGATGACTGAACATGAAATGAAAATCTGGACCATGGCCGGGTTCAAACCAGCGACGGCTATCTTAGATAGTCAAATGATAATCAATATATGATGCTCCCCGTCTCTGATTCAGTTAGAATTGGATTGGGATGAGAAGTCCTGACTAGACAGCAGCCATTGTGAATACGATCAAGCGGTAGTTAACGCGCCACGAATTCACATGGTAGTCGGGCAAAACCCTTGGTGTGATTGAGGTGAAATAAAATTGTGGTCAGCAGTCGGACCTCATAGCTCAGTTGGTAGAGCACCGGGCCGATAACCCGATGGTCGCTGTTTTATAAATACAAATAGTAAAAAAAAATTAGTTACGGGCGTTTACCACTGGGAAGTGGAGACTCGTTGAAAAACCTTGTGAAAATCTCATCGTGCCAAATTCCAATCGGTAATTTAAATCTTTAGATAGAATAGTTGTGTTAGTCCAAAATATCACATCTCTACAATGAAGTCAATAGAATCATTGAAAAACGGATTAGGTATTGAAAAGGTATTCATCGTCGGTAGAAATTATTATTTATTCCTTGGGTTCCTAATGGAACATAGGGGGCTTGAGTAGCACGTCTCCAGTGCACTCTGTTCTCTGTAATCTTTTGAGCCTGGCTTCACGACAGCCCAGAAGCTCTCATTTCTTCCTCGCACGATCTCCTCCATGTCACCTTCAGCTGGGACGCCCAACCGTCATTTCCATCTGGGTTCCACTGGATGACCTGGCTTGGCGCATGATGTCCCCAAATGGTCTTCTCAGTGCATGCCCAATCCATCTCCACTTCCTGCTGCATAATTGTTGAGCGATAGGTTCTTGCTTTATTAGTTTCTTGCCAGCCAGTCAGCCAGAGTTCCTTGTTGCTTATTCTTGCAGGCCATCTGATCTTCAGTAAGGAGTGCAGGCAGTTGTTGACGAATGTATGCTACTTTCTAATATTTTAAGTTTATTAAGTGGATAGAAACTGTAAGTGTCTTCTAAGTTCAGATATTAAAATCTTTTCGACTTATCGTAATGATAAATGTAATTGACTGTCTATGATAATGAGTTAGATTAGAAGTTTTTTGCACGTATACTTTAAAAGTGAAGTTTTTCTTTTCTTATTCTTTCCAATAGACCAATTATTGAAAGCAGCTTCGGAATTAGATAATTTTGGTGATATAGATTGGCCTGAACCAGTTGCCTTACCTTTACAAACTGTAGAAAATGGTAAGATGGAGACGAATTGATTCGGTTGTCGAGCAAGTATTCCTCTGGTTCCTTCAATTTCATATACTAATGTTTCTATCGGTTTTGTATTTTCGATTTTGAATAATATTAACAATAAAAAACACTGTAAAAGTAAATCTTTCTTAGAAAGGCGCTTACTTACTTGCTTTCTGTTCTGGTTGACAGTTCAGTACGTCAATGGTAGGTGTATATGCGTTGTTGGTTCAGATTTTTAATCAGCATAATTCTGTGATCGTCGATCGTTTTGTGTGTTTAAATTGACTGACGCTGATTTAATAACGAGATAATGAATCCGATATGCCACACTTGAACTATGCATGATAACGATGACTCACTAAGCGACGAAATACCGGAACATGAAGACTGACCTGTGACTGAAAGGACAACTTTTTTTCGGCTAACACGCATTCTATATATACACTTCATAAACAACATAAGAATACTCTATGTCAGAGACAATTTATCCTGATTGGCTCCCTGAAGTGCGAATTTTATCCAATAGAATTTATTCTGACCACACAGCAGCATAGATGGAAATTTCAAGGTTGAAAATTCCTACCTCATCGATTAGTGACTTAAAATGGTGATTTCTCTTTTAGCCGCTTCTTATCATCGTCGAAATCTACTTTAGATTTTGCGAAAATGGGATAATCATCCTATTCGATATGTGAAGGATTCACAATGGAATGTCATGTGGTGGAGTTTTGTGTCAGTGATTTAAAAATGGCTAAATCATAATTTACTATCTAGTACTGTTTCTCTGCTGAGTGAATGAAAATTACAAGGTTAGAGATTGATGCGTAAGTGTCTCGTATTCACAATCTCATTCATATATACGATTAAGGCTGACTGAATGTAGTGCATTTAGGTGCACAGACGCATGAATAGCAGTGTAGTGTTGCCTATGAATCGTGTACAGATATCTTCTTTTATTCGAATTACTTTACATGAAGCAGGAGTGATGTCTGTAGTTTGTTTAAACTCATGATAATCTTTGCAGTCAGATAAAGTTTTCGAATGCGATTGATAACACTTTGATTGCTTTACTAATAGTATGATGTACAGTGCTAAGAGAAGTAAGATTACTGTTGTTGTTTGTTGTTATCCCGTCGCTGAGTGGGCCGAATTGATCGATCTTTATTGGCATATGGACTCCTGTGTGCGGATGCCTCAATATTGCGTATGTTACAATTTTATGATAGTGGCTAGCGATGGAATCAAGGACTTGCGTTCCGTCCTATTTGGGGCTGACTGTCAGCTGCATGTGCATGTCTCTCAATGAGTAATGTTGTTCTCACTGGGATTCGAACTTGTGACCGATTGCTTCGGATGCCAAAGCGTTATTTTCTAGACCACCTAGTCGCGATAGCCATCTCTTGTGCGATGGGTATTATTGTAATAGAGGCCGATCAATTCGGTCCCTTCAACGACAGGTTAATATAACTAACTATACTAGCCAAACAAGAAGTGGCTTGGTGATCTAGTGGATTACTCTCTGGCGTTTGAAGCGTTCGGTCCTGGTTTCGAGTCCCAGCGGGAACAACATCACTCACTGGGAGGCAGGTACATCCGGCTGACAGGTCCTAGATAGGCCGAAACGTGCGTCCTAGATCCCACTGTCCACTATAAAAGTGATATACCAAATGAACATGGCATTTGAGGCGGTCAGAAACGAACTCCCCACTGACCATGAACTCACTAGTAAGATTAGGGTTTTGGTTGAAGAAATCATGTTGGGCTAGCACTTATGGTGAGTATTTGTAGCTCATGATATGGATGTTCAAAGCCAGTTCTATGAGGTTAAGTTTTAGTTAAGAGATGTTTTAATATCATGCTAGACATCGTTATCAACGTATCAGAGCTTCACAAGAAAGTGGAGTGTTTGCTTTTGTATAGATATTCATAACGTGCTACATTGTTTGAGTCTGATTTGATTTATTGTTTGATGAGTGAGTAGGCGTATACCGGACCTAGTTGGTAGACTTCCTACATCTAGTTTTTCAGACTAGACTGGGATTACGTGACTGGTTGCTTTTGCTTGGTTGTAGTACGTTGGGATTACTTGGTTTTGATTTATTAACCTTTTCTGTTCAAAAAAAGTTGTCAACCATTCAAAACAAGTGCAGCTTCACCAATTCATTCGAACAGACAAGATGAACAAATCAAAACGAAGTGACCCCAACGTACTGCAAGCAAAAGAAACCAACCAGTCACGTGATCCCACTCTAGTCTGAGAAAACTAGATGTAGGAAGTCTACCAACTAGGTCCGGTATACGCCCACGTACTCATCAAACGATATATCAAATGAAACTCAGGTAATGTATCACGTCATGAATACTCATACAAGATCAATTAATTCACTTCCTTGTAAGGCTGTTTCGCACTAATGACGATGTCTAGCATGATATCAAAACGTCTGGTAGATAAAACCTTAGCTCAGAAAAGCACTTACTCTAAATGAACAACGCAGATCTATGCGGAACTTCCACAGCCTTCAGAATTCAGGAAAGTTTATAAAAAAAAGAGGAAGTGGGGATGTGTTCTCCTTCGTCTGTAAACAGATCAAACATATTTATGAATAGTCGGGAACAAATGACATTAGGAACATTTCAATTTATTCCAAAAGTATGGTGGGGATATGTTTATATGTGCATATTTTCTATGTGGAAATCAGATTATATGGAGAGCTTTTTTACACAGATTACCTCGATGATAGATGCAGTCCAGTTCACTTATGAATTAGAAAAGCAACAAGAAGAAGAATTATCTGCGTTTCACTGCAAAATAAAGAGAATAAAACATGGCAGCTTAGATACCAATGTTTACAGAAAGCCACCACACTCGAATAGATACTTGGGCTACATTCACATCATCTCAACATGATCTTTCAAGATAGGCTTGGTAAGATGCTAAAGTATTCGAGTCAGAATCCTAACTAATGAATCTGAAGATGTTTATCAGGAATGGAAACATATTACAGAGACATTATGATAGGAAGCGACGTAAATGGAAATTAACATTTCAAGTCATCAACCACTAAGTTAGAAGTCTGTATTTCAATTTTGTATCAAATCACTGTGTGATCAAGAAAAACATTATTGGTCAGTTTTATCTTACAGTTGACCAATCAGAATGAGCCAATCAGATTTTGACCGAGTGATTTTATATGTTTATGAAAATGGGTATGTTTTTCTCGAATAAAGTATGTTTCTAAAAGTCGGAGGGCAATCTTCATCCTTTGATATTTTTTTTTGGCTCAATGAAGTACTGTGGGAGAACATTCACCATGCTTATCCATTTCAAGTGTCACATTGTGTCACTATCATCACTCGCATATTTCTTATTATTAACTCGATCACTTCACTTTACCATTTAGTGACTACTTTTATCGTTATTTGAAAGTTCATGAACGGAAGAGAAATAACTATAATAGTGTTAATAGAAACATGTCTGAGAGAGATTTAAATTTTCCTTAAGGTTTTCATATTAAGAAGGGACAGTAGTAATTCTAGGTAGGATTTTTAACAATTTTTGAAACACGGTATCATTTAAATCTAAGAACTCATTCAGAAAAGCAGTTTATCAGCTAAACTACCTAACAAATCCAGTCCAGGGAAGTTATCTAATCTATTACATAAGATGCAATGACTATGATGAGATCAAGTGCAAGTAGGTTGAAGTAGGCAATAAAGGTTAGCTAGGATATTTGAACAGAAAAATCTAGAGAAGTATAAGGCGATAGACTTCTGTAAACTAAGTAATTTGGAGAAGAACTCGACTATCTCTGTAAATACATTGGCTTATAGTCAAGTTACACTATAGAGTGACAGTTCTGATATCTAGTATAGTGGACAAGAAATCGTCTACGTTGTCTTTGTCTTTGATATGCTTATGAGCAATGGATTCTGTTTGTAAATATCACCTAGTAAACAATCTGTGCTACACTACACAAATACGGGATTTATTATAATTATTAAGGGTATCATGTTTAGGAGCAGAACTGTGTCTTCACAAAGGGTCCGTCGTTTCGTATCATAATAATACGATATTCTAACGTCCAGTCAAGTTAGTATCCCGAAAGTTGTTATGTCAAAGTAATTGTCATATTCATGTTTATTCGTTGTACAAATAATTAAACAAGTACACAAATGTGATCGGTTAATCAACAGTGGTGTGTAGTCATCTCTTTATACTGTGACTACTGCTATGTACCTGTAATTTTGCATAGATTTTGCCTGCTGTTTTACCCATGACCTTAAAATAACCTACATGACTGTTTCTCACACTGTTACTAGTTTCTCTCCTTTCAAGGCTGAACTCTCATTGGCTGTTAACTATTTTAACCCGTGTGTGGATTTGGTGTTGTCAAGGTCATTTAGAAATGTATATATTCAGCAACACTGTCAACTGTATTGACTGTTATTAACATAGTATAAGCTCTCTGTGAATGGTGTGTCTTCTTTTCTTGGAGTGTCAGTGGTATTGTTGTTGTGGTGGTGGACGTTTTAACTTGTGTTAGAGCTGATTCGTTGCTCTTTAGGCTAGTATTGTTTGCAGTCTCCTAGGCTCATATCGCTCGTACAATGTTACGTCAAACTACCAGTCATGGGAAATAGTCAGTTTATGATTCCAGAGTAGTGCATAAATTCAGTGTCGTAATGTGAGACAAAGCTACAGAATGAAAGCAAGTAGTCATCGAACAGTGTATTCGGTGCTATGATGTGGAATGATTGGGAGTGTTATCCATACACCATGGTAATGAAGTTATCGAAAATATGGGAAGTGCATCATTTCAAAGTTTGGGAACAAGCAAATCAACTGTGTGGGCTTCTAAAAGTATAAGAATCTATTAAAGGAGACAGTTAATTGTGTGACTGGGGACCTCCTCACTGTTTTACATTGAAGTAATTTACTGAAGAGCAATCAATGTCATATTGTCTAGTCGATAGCACAGGTGAGATTCTATTGACTAAGTTTATTATGTCTGTTACTTAGCTATGACACTCATCATCTCAATGAATCCTGCTTGATTTTAGGTAGTAGCTGGAAGCAGTCAGTCCTGTATGACTTCACTCGCTGTCTATAATAGCTCAGTTATAATGTCTGTCTCACAGTGGACAACGCATCAGTTTCAGTGGGTTACACACGCTTTCCTGATAAGTGTCAATAAGCGCGAAACTTGGGCTGGAAGCTATCTGCAGATAGCCTCAAGCCATCTAATACCATCTATCATTATCTATTATATGCTAGTTGCTTATTCAGTTTTGTGATTTCTTATTCACTCTTTTCTTCTAATATCTATTGGTTAAGTGAACATGAAGGGTACATTGATCAGTTACTGGTGGGTAACGAACTTCTTATTGTCTAGTCCTAAGCGCTGATCCAGTTCTGTGATCATTTTACAACATGGTCACCAATCTAGAAGACTCACTCTTCATGATGCACTGAGATAGATATTAGTTGGTCGGAGGCAATCGTCAGGAAGCTCTGGTCGACCTAGGCTCCGTGCTTCTTGACACTCGTCAGTAGGGCGTATCTACAATTTCTAGTGAATTGATGCCCATTTTGAGATTCGGACTAGTGTTATCCAATAGTGCATTCAGAGACGCTACCATTAAGTCATTCGGGTCGTAACTAGTCAGTACTCAGGACTAGAAAACATAAAATCGATTACCCTCCACTGGCCAATCACTGTACCTCGTCTAATCCTACAGGGGAGTCCCGAATAGCTTAATGACGGGGCATAACATCCATTGAAGTTGCAGATACACCTTTCTAACATTCTGAGTTGAGACAGTAAAACACTTATGATGCATTTCTCAGTTATCAAATGGAAATCTATACTATGCTATACTACGCCTTGGTCTTTACTTTAGGAGTAACGTGTGAAACCAGTAATATTCGCAATATCCACTTAGGCAATGCAATAGTGCACTTTTCAGGTGTCGAAACTAGAAGTTAGTGATATATGAAAACCTGCTACACTTGAACACACTTCATACTTAGAGTAAATTGTATGGATTATGTTAGTTAAGGAAATCCAATAAATCATTCCTATAGAGATGCGAATCTGTAAAATTTTCTTACAAACATAGTAACATCACTGATCCCAATGTCTTAGAATAGCACTAAAATGAAATTAAAGGGGTATTTAACTGTTCTGTTATATCAGCTGAAAAGTGGAAAACATCAATCGTAGATAAAAAGTGTCATTAGTCGTGTATTATTTTTATTTATTTTAAAATTCACTTTACTTGTGACTTAATTGGTGACATTGTTGTATAGCTTGATTCAAAAGCTTTTGATTGGTACTTTCTTCATCTACTCATTATGACTATTATGTGCTTGAAATCGGTTTTTTCATCTTCTTGATAAATTATGGTCTAGTGTAATCAGGTAGGCAATTTATTTGTGTATATACAAATGAATCAGACCGCCTGAAATATACAGAGAATAAATATCAGACTTTGTATTTTGTTATACGCATTTTCAGGGGTGGGCTGAATCGAATGGCCCATGGCGTAGGTGGGCTGAGTTTGCGAGATCCGGTAAAGTATATTGGAGACCAATCACATGCAAGGTCAGTGTTAGAACCAAACAAATGGAATCATGGGCTTAGGACAATTACGGTTTAAACAAAGAGATAATATCCACCACTATCATTTCTCTTATTGATGACTCAATAAAGATTATTTTTTCTTTGTTTAGGTCTATTAATTTCCTTATGCTGTTTTATGTTGAGTAATTCATTGACTGACTGGAGAGCATAAAGTATCATTTTGTCACATCTTGCCTACCCATCTTCTGTTTATCTGGTTGTTTAAATGATGAGTAAATTTAACACTATCAGACATATACAGCTTTTCTCAAGGGATATATAAAGACTGATATGCACATTTCTTTATTCCGTAAAACTTGTACAATTTGCGGTTGCATATACGCATTCATCACAGCACATAGTTAGATATTATCACAAAATTACAGGATTAACCGTATAGTGAGACATAATAATCAGGGTAATTTAGTATTTTTTTTTTCATATATTGAAAAAATGCCAACAAGTAAATAAATAAGGCAGAAAGTAACAATAATTCCAGACATTGGGGTATGTGAGTAAAGCCTAAGGCGGCATAATGATATGCGAAAAATAGATTAGCAGTATTTCGTTGAGCTACTTAAATAGTTTTAAAGTAAGCAGTTTATTAAAAAGAAAAAAAAGACTGAAATTTGTAAATCAATCGATCTCACCTTCACCCATGATTATTTAGGAAGTAATGAAAGACAAAAAGTATTTGCTTTTCATTATCAGTTTTTTTATCCATAAAAATAATACTGTTTAATAGAATGAATTTATTTATAAGGAAGTGAGTGAAACCAATTGAAAAGGAATAAAAGGCAAGATTTTATTTTGTTACTATTATAATGGAAGCTCAGACAGATTAATTATCACAATACATATACATAGACCGTGAACCTATATTTTCAATGACATAAAACAATTTTGAGAAGTTTTAGCTACTTTTACAAGTGAAACATTTGTATTCAGTAGCTGAACATTAGAAAATATTGGAAGTATGTTTCAATTACTTTTTTTTGTTAAAGTTTCTTGGAAATTGAGAATGAAGCACTCACAGATCGTCAGTACAGTTAAACAATATTCATAGTGTTTTAAACACCAACCATTTTTCTGGCGAGAAGCGGCTGAAAGAAAGATGAGAGAAAAGGAGCATTCAGTTAGTTCTGGTGCTGAAAAAGTTTATATATATATATATATATATATATATATATATATATATATATATATATATATATATATATAGTAATTGAAAACATTTGTTTCGCGAAATAAATTTTAAACAAGCAGTAAACGTAATTAAAGAAGGATTTATTGAATTCATGAACTTCAGTAGGACTTGTCAGCTTTCTACTCTACATAAATGATTTTATATACCGTTGTGCTATAAAAGAATACATACACACATAATACAGCAGATTAAGATATTGATTGAGGCAATGGCAACATGGAGTGAATCGTTTATATATGTCAAACAGAGCTAAGAAAGATTACGTTGAGGAAGGGGGGGTAACGAATTGATAATCCGAAATAAAAATAACTAGGGATGGATTAGATCATTTTAAACAGAATAATTAGTAATAGTCAACTAGATAGCTTGATAAAGGTGTACACTAGGAGAACATAGGTGTTAGGTAAACAAAAATACATTGATTATAGTAGTGATAAGTGATAATAATGATAACAATAAGAATATGGATGTTGAAAAGATTAAAATGAAAATTGATTTTTTTCTTTTGATAGAATTGTTCGACCTCTATTGGCATATGGGCTCCTATACGGATACCTCGATATTGCCTGAATGTTAATTATGATAAGTTGGTTGGTTGTGGCTAGCAGAAGAATCCAGGACATGCGTTGTGTCCTATTTGGGACTCGTCAGCTGGATGTACTGCATCCCAGTGATGTTCTTCCCACTGGGGTGCAGGTATATCCAGCTGACGAGTCTCAAGTAGGACGAAATGCGCATCCTGGATTCTTCTGCCAGCCACAACCAACCAATTTATCAATTAAAAAGGTTAGTAAGAGTGTAAAACTAAAAGAGGCTGGAGTATTAATAACGATGGAGGTAAGTCATTTCACTATTAAACGAAGTTCAAGACGACAGCAGAATGACAGTATAGTGGTAAATATACAAAGTATAGGAAGAAATAGAACGGGAAAACAAGACATTTATAAAAATAAATAAGTTTAGAATACTTCAGCATCTCTACTATGGTAGATTTAGGATGACTATCATCTCTTATTGTACACATAGGCTTGCTTTACGAACTGTAATCGCTCATGCTTCCATAGTTGCAAGCATTTTCTTATTCTGCTGTCTACTGACAACCGAGAAGTCGTTAGTGGTGTCAACATTATGTCGGCAACCCATTAGATGTTTCGTAATCGAACTCCATAGGATTTTTGTTTCGGCTTTCTTCAACCATTTAGGAAAATGCTCAGTCATGAGAGTAGACAGGCGCTTTTCCATACGATCTATGTATTTGCTTCCATAAGTACATTCAAACTGGTATATACAGTTAAATATGTCAAGAATTGAAGTCATGTCTTTTCCTGATTGCTGCCACACTCCTATGGTGATGCTTAAAAGTTCTAGATTAGCTGCATGATAAGTTCTTTTAATGGCCTTGTCTAGCCTCGACTTAACAATGTCTAAGACATCATCTCTAAAAGGTCGTTTAATAAATACTGATGTTTTTTGGAGGCGTGAAACGTGCTGTTTCACATTGTCTACTTTTCGAATACTTCTTGACAAAGTCTTCAGGATAGCCATTTTTAGCTAGGATATGGTTCAGTTTCTATTTCATAATCAGTGGTACTATCATAGCAGATTTTCTTTGCTTTATCAATAGGATTCTGATTAAGTTCCTTTTATATTGAATCCGGACAAAACTCTTGAAGTGGAGATATTGTCTATTCAATGAAAGCTTTCTGTAGATGGATCTTTTTACAGATCCACCATTCCTTTTCACTCAGGAAACGTCTACAAAGTTGTTATGATCATTTTCTTTCTGTTCAACTGTGAATTTGAGATTTACATGACAAGAGTTAAAGTTTTTCAGCCAAAGTTTCTGATTCCACCTTACTTTTACATACAATAAAAATATCATCCATATACCATTGATACAGTTCCATCTGTTCCATCAGCATAAAGTGGACCCAACAGGCTTCCCATTGCAACACCGTCGACATGATTTGTTATGAAAGTTGATTCAGATGTCAGAAAAAAGTGATTATATTAATTGTAGCCTATATTAAAACTGCAACCTCATGTAAATTCTTCCAGCTAACAATGAGCCACACTTGTTGCGCGATGGTTAGTGATACTAGGAATGAAGCTGTACAAAACTCGGTAGATGGACAGTTATTTGAACTCATAGCCCATTGGTTGAAAATCAATTCCTCAAAGCCAATGAGCTACAACTTCTCCTGTGTTACATGTGTATTTATACATAAAACATTTAGGTTGAAAGTAACAAGTAATCGCCTCCTCGGTGTATAGTTAAACGGTATCATTTACCTAATCAAATCAGGCCAACTCTAAGATACATTTTACCCTTTTCTCTATAACTTTAAATCTTGCAAGTAGACCATAGAAATCATAATTATGGAACAAAGGTAAAAATACTCATCAATTATCCTCTAATTAATGTAGATACGTCTTAGATAAGAGAAAAAAAGCATATCCAGCATATTTCATATCATACTCACGGGTATTGCATAGACGAACAAGACTATCAATAATCCGATAATAAGAACAATTAATAAACCAATTATTATCCATTTCATTTTCTTCCAGATAATAAATTTGAAAGTTTTCCATGGTGATGTAAACCACAAGAACGATGTTTCTGGGCGTCTAAAATTAAGATAAATACATAAATAAACAGATTAAAAATACAATCAGAGAAATAATTATTTATACTGGGTGATGGTTGAAGATCAAATGAAATTGTGGGCTGCGGCAGGACTCGAACCAATGACGTTTGGAATACCAGCCCCATATTCTAACCACTGAGCTAGTTATAAGATTTCACTTCAATCAATCAGTTTAATGAATAAATATGCCAGCAGACCAAGGAACCCTTCGTTAATAGTAATGACAGATACTGGCTGGCTAACATGAGGATCCCGGACGCGTGTTTCGTCCTAGTTGTGACTCATCAGCTGAATGTGCTAGGATTCCACTGCTAAACATTATAGATTACTGTTATCAAACTGAGACTTCAAGTAGTATCAAGGGATTCACATGGGAGCCCATAAGCCACTAGAGGGCGACCAGTTACAAGCAATGACACAAAACAACGCCTGATTAGAATTCTGTATCTCAGTCCTTATAGGTGTAGTAATAAAGGAGAATGAAACATAATACGCTCAGTCTAACTAAAACATTTGATGATATCTGAAGAGGAAAGTGACAAAGTGAAAGTAAGCTGAAACAAGTACAATGGAGATCAATGCAATACAAACCATTGGTGACTGTATAGAAGAGTTGGTTATAGTGTTATAGCTGAAAAGTGGGAAAATGTGAACCTCAGAGAAGTGTCATTTATCAGCAGCTCTTAACTGACCCCTCTGTCATCCATTTATGTATCACTTACAGCAGTTCAAAAGTAATCCCTGCTTGTTGAGTGAAATTCATTATTGTGCATTATGTCATTTTTTGTTCTTGAAATTGATTGTTTCATCTTCTTCATAAATTATGGTGCGTTATGATTAGGCGGGCAACTTAGTTTTATATAAACAGATGAATAAGATCACTTGAAATACATGTGAACAATAAGTAGGGTTGAGAAGGCTGAATTGAATGACTCGTAGTGTGGACAGACTGAATGTAATAAGAGAGTGGGTAAGTATATTCTAGACCAATCATATGCAAGGTCACCGTTAACAGCGGATCAGCGGATCACGTGGTTCAGAAAAAAAATTACAGTATATATATATATATATATATATATATATATATATATATATATTATTCAAGTGTACTGAAATCCACTAGAGTACAAAGGAGCTAAAGACGGCAGAAAAGGTGTATGTACACAAACTGTCACAACAAACAGGCTATCCAAAGAGTCACATCAATAAAGACCTATCCAAATGTTCTTCAACATAAAAGTCAAATCAAATAAAAGTATCATGCTTCCAATCAACATACTACTACAGTGATTTGGAATGGGTGTATCTCACACACTCAATTAAACTTTCTAAGGCATTTTGGTGCAGCCTACAAGGTCCGGGAATTAAAAAGGTGTTGTATCTGTACTCAGTAGAATGAGAGTAACAGTCAGTCAATCAGGAATATCCGTAACGTATCTATCTATTGTTTTCATACATTGACATTGTGATTCGACCATCTATACTTTTACGGGCTTTAGCATTTCCAATGTGATGTAACAGAACATTGGTAGGCTAGCAACCTTCTTTCATCCCCTCTCTAAGTCCTCCGGTATGACGTCAGTGGAAGTAGGATCAACTCGCACAGAGTAACAACAGTTAGAACCAGTGTGTTGCGGATTTTTCCCAGTCCACTAACCATAGGACCCAATAGGAGACCCAAGTCAAGGTAAACAGGCCAACAGGTTAGATTGGGGAAATAACAAGAAGAAAACGCATAAGTAACCTATAAAATCAACTCCACCACTTGCACTGATCATAATTTTGAACAATCCACTGATGGAAATCAGATAGCAGTTGAACGGCACAATATATAGTCATTCTTCTCCTCAATACATATCAATCTATACAATTTCTTGGGACACATGACTTCAAAGTGTATGAAAGAATTCTTTGATGTATGGCGTTCTGATGGATTACTGCTCAATAGATAGAGTTAAGGTTAGATATCATCTGTGAACTACTGAACTACAAAATCATAAGGCTTACAAATCCTACTTTTCTTCTAAGTAAACAAAATCTCCGCCTGAGAATACAAATCACAGAAATGCTATCCATAACAAGTACAACTGGTTGGAGTATGAAGATTGACGCCAAGTAGATAGATAAGCATAAAATCCTCAACAGTGGACTTAGAGAAGATAGATAAAGGTCGAAGAAGCTAGAGCTACAAAAGGGAACGAGTTAGCAATAACGAAACGGACCAATCATTCATATGCATCCTCATGAAAAACAGTTAACAGCAGGGTCTAAAATAAAGTCAACAGCTTTGTCTAGGAGAATTCATACTTCAGGAGTAATACAATTTTTAAAAGCGTCAGGTAATTGTTCTGATGCGTGCCAACAATATTTATCGTTTCTCCTTCTGTTGGCTACATAACTCAATAATGAGTATAATGAGAACATGGCATTGTATTAGATTGAAGGCAGTTAACAAGAAGCTACGTATCTTGTTGAAGGTTGGAAAAACTTATACGGTACCCCGAAATATTGGCCGTTATGTCATTCAGTCCAACAATAGCTGAACAAGTTACCACTGAATTGTTTAAAGCAAAGAAAATCCGCAAAGTTTAAGTTTTGGATAACTTGCCAACTGAATCCAGTCATCTTAGATCGATCACAACGTACTAACAAGTTAGTGGAAACATTGAGAAATCTAATGAATAAATTTTTCCTAGTATTAAAGACCAGACAACATTGAAGTGATATTAGGATCTGGTAGATCAGTTGGTAGAGCACAGGGTAGATGACCCTCAGAGGTCACTGGTTCGAATCCTATCGCAGCCCAGATTTTCATTTTACCTTCAACCAACTATCACCCAGTATCAAAAATATAAGTCGGTCAAACAACGAATCAATCTCAGATAATCAAAGTGATAAGATTAGTTATCAGTCAATTATATATATGTATACAGACGATAAACTGACTTTGGAGGGTCTAAATGAGGATTTTCATTTGGATCTTCACGTGCTTTACCAGCTGGTCGAAGTTCAGATTCTGCTTTTGTCACCAATTCCATCTCCATTTCAATTTTACCCTTTTTTATGAAAGACAAAGAAATATTGAATTAATCATTATTATAATTTATTGTAAGTATAAACTTTAATTGATTCATGAATCAGGTTTAATTGATAACTTAGTTGATACGTAGCGACAAAAGGCAGCCAATGGGGGAGTTGTTCTCAAGTCATGATCAGATCATATTCAGGTCGTGATTTATACATGCACTGACATCAGAACCTGATTGGAGAAGTCCGACGTCATACAAGAAATCGGATTGGTTCATTCATGGCTTCACTTTGTGAGAGTTTTGTAAATACATATATGTCATGTATTTGCCCAATAAAAGTTGTCGTCGCTGTTCTTGCAGTCATAGGTCGTCTTTGTCTTTTGATTTTTCCGCGGCTCAGTAAAGCAGAAGGTACTGAGGGAGGTCAATCGTAAAGGGATTCGGTTGAGGTGTCTGTTAAGTCTCAGTATCATTATACCCACGTGCGCAACCTCACCACTCGGTCATAACATTAGTGTATTAAGTTAATTGCATAGTAGTCAAGTGAAATTTTTAAGAGAACTGAAAGGGTGGTAATCTACGAAGCTGGTACCCTTCTTGATTTTTACCTGTTGTCTTAACTACTGAGTACCCCTATATTTTGCCTTTTGCTTGGTTTTTGCTATCAATGGGAACCAACTACATGTATCTCTAGGTCACTGAGTGTTGTTCTTGCGGAGACTAGAAACTATCATTCATCGCTTCAAACGCCAAAGAGTTATCCACTAGGCCACTGAGGTGTTTGAAGTGATGGGTACGGCGTTCGAACCTCGGTGGGGATGACATCCCTCACTGGATGCAAGTACATGCAGCTGATGAGTACGGAATGGGACGAAACGTGCATCCGGGATTTTCATGCTATTCCCCAAGATCAGTATAACATCACGAAAGAAATACTGTTCGCTTACATGTGTTGTTATAATCTTCTGAACTGTTTAAGTAACTGTGATGACATATGCTTAGGGTGAACTGATTTCCCCTTTCAACAATCAAACACAACTGCAAACAAACAAAGATCAAACATGAGTTAATTAATTATGCATACAACTTGGAAAGAAATCTCTACAAAGACTCTAAAATGGTTCTTTGTACTTATTTCTTAGTTGAGACGTGACAAATTATAGAAAATTCAATGAGTTCAGTGGTACAATTCTGTCTCCGTGGTACTCATCTCTCAGGGGTAAGTGTGCCCTTATACATCCATCACTCTAAAGATCATAGAATTATCAACTATACTGATTAGTGACAAAAGTTAGTCCTTCAAGCAACTAGTATTTCCTGGCGTCTAGGTTTGGTACCTTCTCGCTGTTCACTTGATTTGACTGTATTCGTTGTCGGAGATTCTTGATGTGATCTGTCAGCAAGCAAATAATACCATTGAAATCCACAGTGAAAGATGAAGGTAATTTATTATAAAATGTTGTAGCTATTTAAAAAAAAACTTACAGTTAATAGTGGTGTCCCACTTTCATCATTGATGAACGGCCAATATCCATTCAGTCGTCGACATTCGAATAAGTTGACCATTTTAGTATCATTACCAACTGATTGTAGCATATTTATTGCACACTTACTACGTGTTTTTGCTGGACTAGGCATATTTGATAAATTCAACTCTAATGTGCCTAAAAAGTCATCCGGTGAGAATAGATCATTATCCCAAATTTGTAAGACTAATTGTGGACGAACACGTTGTTCTGTTATATCCATAGACCAAAAATGCTCTTTACGCTTAACAACAATTGTATTTTCAGCTGGTAGATAAAAGAAAGGGAAGACAAATCGCCAATTGAAATTCCCTTCACCACTGAGTGATCTGTAATGGACATCTGTCTTTTGACGATCATCTAAACCAGCTAACCAACCCTAAGAGAGAAAAGTAGGTGAACGTATGTAACCGTGTTACTGGAAATACACACACAAACACATGTACAAAACTTCGTATTATATCAATTAGAAAATGGAAAACGTGAGTCTCAGCTATTGAGTCATAACATTATTGTATAGGTTGACTCGAGAGCTTTAAATTGATTCCCCATTCTACATATACTTATGATTTGGAAATAATTGCATGTTGAAAGATATCAATTATAGTGTGCTATCTTATCTTCTCTGCATGAAATTGATTGTTTCATTTTAATAAATTATGGTACGTTGTGGTCAAGAAATCTGGTTGCATTTATACAGATAATTCAGATTGTCAAGGTTATGCTGCCAATAAGCGCCAGACTTTCTGTCCTGTTATATGTGGTTGTAGGGGAGGGTGAAGTAGCGTGGTTAGTGGATTGAGTACGCGAGATTGGGCAAGTATATCCTAGGCCAATCACATGGAAGGTCAGAGTTAAAAGGGAGTTGGCAGAATCACGTGCTTAAGATATCTGCAACCAAAGTTATAACGAATTACCCATAGGAATAACTCAGGAGTATAACAACAACACAAATAAAAATCTAAATGAAGAATATACGAAAACTCTCTCCGAACAACTGGTTTAACAGAGTGATAATCCCTTGTCATTAGGAGACGTCTCAATAAATATGTCATAAGGGACTATTTTTCTGTAGCGAATAACTGTGTATTCACTCAAAAACGATGAAGTAACAATGGGATGTTATTCAACTTTATGTGACTAGAATGTGGACCGTGCTTTTGATAGTGTTTTGTTCTCTGAGCTAGGTGGTTTAGTCGTAAAGTGTTCATTGTCACTCTAGGGAGCATCATCACTACAAACTCAAGAAAGAGATGAGCTATGGGATTTTCCTCATAAGCGATTTACTAGCTCATCTCGATGACCTTGAATGTGATTGGTTGTTCCTACTAACATCTTCTCATTGTTTCCATGCCCATTTCGATCGGTTGTTCCACCCACGCAAGCGTTGACTTCTTATTGTTTTTTGTGTTTCTTATTGGTCGATGGACTGGACCAATGTCAATAGATTTGTTGATCATGTTCGTCAAAAAAAGCAACCGAGTAAGATAAAAGGCTACCTACCTTTACATAGATATCAGACATCCTTTCACCAGTTATCGATTTTTCATCAAGTACAACATCATATGTATTCCATACAACTAAGCGTAATATATATTCATTTGGTTGCCTTGGTGATATATCAAACGGTGGACCAGGTTCACCCAAACAAGTTGGAAATATATCAACCCATAATTGTAATTTACCCTGAAGTAGATAGTGAAGACAAATGGATTAGTTAGGCAGATTAGACATAATATGCATTACTAATTTGTACCATTTCTACGGGTTCAACCGTCGAATATGGTTCATTAGCAGGCACATAAACATTCATTGATTCAATTCGGAAGTTTATAAGGACTGACTGACTGATTTTAGAGTAGTATTTGTGATGGAGTGACATCATTTAGAGAACTTCTGGGAGCCTGAGAGCACTAGACAGCCGTCTCATGTTAGTATGAGTCCACTTGGTAGTGCGCATCACAAAATCACTAGGGGTCGAACTCAGAAGAGTTAGGGTTCATCGTATTGGATGATGCTCGTGCTTTACTACAAACTGGGGGAAGTAGGAGAATGCTGACCATTCCATTCTGACCCAGTAACTAAATAGCAACTTGCTAGCCACCAGAAGTGATGATCCTGGGTCCACTCCCTGGCAGGGTCATGGGTGTGCACTGCTGAGGAGTCGCAGACCAGGACGAAACAGCTATCCACTTATCCCAGCTCTTTAGTGGCTGTTCAACTGATGTCAGTTAGTGATGAATACCAAGTTAAAACATTCACTAAGTTGTACAACGCACCGTATTTTGTTGCTATGACTGTTTTTAATACAGAAAAAAGTAAGATAGATAGCACCTTAATTAACCTCTTTGAACATCATTCTGACGATGTTTAAGAAGAAATTCCTAATATATGTGCAATGTAACTAGTTACGAAGGTAAATACTGACTTAGTTTGAGGGCTGCTCTAGCAATTACCGAGACAATTAATTACGCTTCTTTATTTTATGACAAACTACTTTCTGACCAGAATACCGAGACCTTATTGATTGTTTCAGCAGTTGCCAGAGTGGCCTTTAAAGTTACTCTAAATATTCCATTAGATTTTGTAAGGATATTAGACTCGTTGTATACCACAGATTTTTAAGTTGCTTAACGGTATTACCTGAGTAGAATAACAATATGAACGCGTAAAAATATGTTGAGTATCGCTTGTAAAATTTCTTTGACCGATAGTACGACCTAACACTCTATGGGCGATACGAACCTAGCAGACTACGAACGATACAAACCTAATACACAAACGAAATGACTCTAACATAAATCATAACGTCAACCACCATCGACGTGTGAAGAAGAGAAAAGAAAACAAATCGTTGGCACGGGGCTTTTTACATTCTCAACAACAGTCAATACAGTTGACACTAATGCTAAATATATACATTTCCAAATGACCTTGACGACACAATTCAAATATGGGTTAAAATAGTTAACAGCCAATGGGAGTTCGGCCCTGAGAGGAGAGGGAAGAAAAACTAGTAAGAGTGTGAAAAACAGCCACGGGGGTTATTTCAAGGTCATGGGCAAAACTGCAGGCCAAAGCTATGCAAAATTAGGGGTGTATAGCAAAAGGATCAACTGAAGACATCGTGGTGGTTCATAGAAGTGCCCTAGGGTTTAATTAGTGAGAACAGAGCACTCAAGTATTAACAAGAAGTGGTCTAAATTGAAATCAACATTTTAACTCGTTACCCAATAAGGTAGAGAGTTTTGGCATCTCAACTTTTTTCAATGTTACTGTGTGGTCAGGAAAAACCTTATTGGACAATTTTATCCTTCAGTTGACCAATCGAAATGCATTTTTCCAATATTTTACTTAATAGTTTTATATGTTCGTGGAAGCTGTTGTATATAAATGATATATTTTTGCCGAATATAGTATCTTCTCTGCAGTCACACACCGGTCTTTGCCTTTTGATATTCATAGTTCAATGAGGTTCTAAGGAGAAATAGTTTCCATTCGTATTTAATTGAAATAAGTTGAACAGCGGTGACTTGAACAAACAGAGGCGTACTCGGTATCTACAGAATAGTTATCACTTCGAAAGAATAAACTATATTAGTTTTATACCTTGTATACTTACAAAAACTATCCCTTCTTAAATTCATAGTTTGCTACCCATGTTTAAGAAAGCTAATGTCTACCATCTCACAAATAAATATTTATATTGATTGACCTATTGTAATTTCGTGTGATGTATTTTCTTGATTTCATAGTGTGACATCTACTGTGTAGTTTATTACTAGTGACTATTGTATAGTAGGCGTTGAAACTTCGCAAATGATTTGAAAATCGTATGGTTCACTATGACATTCCTCACAGCTAAGTAGTTCTTGTCAACTGCCACTCAACTGTGGTCATCATCATCATCATCGTGATCAAAATAGGACCAGGCAATACTGAGTAACGGTTCAAGTTGCCATTCACCTCATATCAACGCATCAAGTAACAAGACAAGGAAATAAAAATCGGTAAAAGGAAGTAGAAGTAGAAAGTTGTATAAGAGAAGAAGGAAGAATAACAAGATGATGAGACTAAGTATAGCGGTTAGTGTGAGGATGCATCTGCACCACTGGTATCGATTTTGAGCCATATCACCTAAAGTCTCCAACCACTAGTTTCTCTTGTCTAGTGGACTCCAACCACCTAGCCATAGCCATACATGGCTCAAACCAATAGTCAAGAACTTCATGAACTGATGCATGACATTTATTTATCTGACAGGCTCAGTTTTAATAGTAGCGATAGGCAGTTTTACATCTAATGGATCTCAGAGGGTAATCTGTTTTGAGGTAATGGAGATTTTATCACTGAGGACGATGATGGAAGTGATTCACTGTTTTGTTATCCTTGATAATTTTTATGCTGCTTTTGGAACTGAATTATGAATTAAATTAAGGAGAACAAGAATTGTAACTGTAATGGGATTTTTCAAGCAGCCATTAACAAACAGTTTCCACAAGCTCGCTCATAGTGTATTAAACGCCTGCGTTTACACTAATGCAATCATGGTAGCATAGACTCAGTTATAGTTAAATGACAGCCAATAGGATATTACAGACTTACTCAAGGTTACATGGGACAGGAATAACCAATCATGGTATCGTTAGGTCCTGAGGCCTGTTAATGATTTGACCGGAAGTAAACGCACACATGCATCACATGTCTATCTGACAGTCACAACTCATCAAACTTTCTCACGTAGTTTTCATTGTCTAGATTAAAGCTTCATAAACACTACTTAATCTAACTAATCAGCATATGCACACAATGCCAAATTTTCTTAGGTAAACTTACTTGTTCAATATTAGGCTGGAGTGGACTATACAGCATCCTTGTCTCAACATGTTCTTTCACTAGTGGCAATTTATTTAAAATATGCAAAGATAAACGTTCTTTTGGTGGACCTAAATGTGGATTGGGCACCATACCACGTTCAAAGTCTTCCAGGACAAATACACGCTGACCAACACGACAACTTGGACTTGGTTTTATTTCTGTTGGGTCTTCATATTGAGGTGCTGGTAGAGCATAACTATCACATACAGCTAACAGTATTTCACTGGGTAACTTTGAATCTCTCCACTGATTCGGTCCAGAGGTACAATAGGATTGTGGTAGACCACATGTTGCTCGATACTTTGTTAAACGTCTATTCTCTAGGTCAATATAAGTTTGTCCAATGATATCGTCTGCACCGACTGCATCATAGTCTTTGACAGTAACATGAAGATCCTTTTCAATTGGTAAAATACACTTCAGCTGAAACATTCTGAATTATTATGGATTTTAGAAAAGAAGAGAAGTACAGTATGAGATAAAAATCAGTTTTCAAATTGAGTAGTAAATAATCTGATGAACATGAATTAAGCGTCATCTTAATCTACTAACATGAAGTGGTGAATCACAAATTACTGCTGATTGGTACAAGTAGTATCGACTGAACTAACAGAAGTTTCAATTACTCTGCTTTTGTATTTTCATTCTTGACCCAATACATAGACATAGTCTGTTGGGTGTTGGGACTTAACTAACAAGACTCTCTGAACCTAAGCTTCGTGCAAAGCCCGCCCACTAGTATGAAAAAAACTTGTGTTTCTTCGATGTTCCAGACCAGGGTTACTCAGTAGTGAAGTCAAGGCTTTGTTCTGAGATAGTCAGGTTATGTCTGACCATTTTCAGAAGCTAGTCATATGCCCGAAGTTTATCAAAAATACTCTAGTTTTCAGATGAAAATATCATAGGATTCAGTAACTGAATTTTTCGTCAAGTTGCACCAATTTCACCTTCTATGGTATTCGCAAACAACTGTTCACCTGAGTAGTTTTCCAAAATTAAGTGAGTGGAATAGCTTACCTATCTAAAATGAGGTTATCCAGTGGCGTTACTTGTGATTTGGGTTCAAAAAGAAAGGTCGAATAGTTCATCAGTTTCAGACCACTAGTACTCTTAATCTTCACAAGTAGCTTGAAGCTATTTCCATCGATTATTTGTATAGATGACATCTTGTTCGATGGGCTAATTTGTTTAACTTCTGAGATTTTCAGTGGTCAGACACCTCCCAGTTACATGATTGACCTCAAGTGTATGTAAATACTTGTTCATTTTGTAATACTTAGAACTCATGTTTACAGTAGACTCCTAACTTGCATTAAATTACCAGTCAAAGAGACAAAAACGTACTAAGAGGTAGTCTGTGATCGTCAAAACAAATATCCTACTTGGTATTAAGGATGGGTAGTGTCTAGTAGTAGGGTTAAGAACTCTTGTTTAGTCCTCTTTTGGACTCGTCAGGGGGATGCGTCTGTTTCCCTTCCCTGAGACTCGAACCCACCAGTGGGAAGTAAGTGCAGCCAACTGACGAGTCCAAAATGGGAAGAAACGTATGTCCTGCATTCTACTACTAGCCATCACCTATCATTGACATCAAAATAAAATCATTGGCTACATCAAGTGCCTGTGCCTACATAAGGATCTATATACCAATGAAGGTCAGTCGATTCGGTTCGACTCAGACCAACCGATAACGGGAGGAGACAAAAAATATCTCACTGTTTCATCTACTTGCAGCTATCTATGTGTATACACTGTAGGGTTATCATGAAACTGTCGTAGAGGCTGTAAATCAAGTTCCTGAGGGGAGGAGGAGAAGGGAGAGATAGCAATAAAGCCTACAAATGATTGTGATGATACATAAACAGGAACTACTTGACAGTTAGTTATACATTACACATAATTGGGATCTCAGGCGTCATTTTTTGAGTTAATCAGCAAGCAACAGCTTCAGTTGCCTCATTTATTGAAATATTTTGTTATGAGCAAGACATAACATAGTAACTAGTATATAGTCAAGGTTATATGAGAATTAAGAGCATGAAAATATTGATTATTCGTTGGGAAACAGACAGACGGACAGAAACTAACTTTCCAAATTCTGGATTTAAAGTATTTGGAATATATTTATCCTTTGAATTAGCTTTCTGCTGGCCAACATTAACTTCCACGTAGGGATCAGCCTAAAATTTCGATAGAAAAAAAATAATTCAACAATAAATAAATAAAAAAATGATAAGAAACGAGATGGAGACAAAACATTTGAGTATGATGATGATGACTGATCGACCGATCGGTACAGAATAACCAATGTCATAGATGTGGTGTATTCTAGAGTGTTGACCATATTCTATCGAACATTTTGCAATGTGTAGACACCATGTTTGGGGGGAGTGGGGGCGTTCAACATGTTAGCTATTGCAGGTAGTTGACAAGAAGCTGATAGATGCTAACAAGCATGAAGCCTGGATCAAGGATAGCTTTCTGTTGGTCGTGTCCAACGGGCTAACATCGATCAAAGTGTACTGCAATGTTTAAACTCCTAGCTTAGTGGATGCAATACAAAATGATCGATAGAATTCGCTTAAAAATAAACTAATGAAGTTGGTTAACCTCCATTAACTAATCAATGTATTATGTCAATTTGTATTGAATAATAAACTTTCGGAAGTGATTGACAAGAACACCTGAATATTGCTTTTTACAGGAAGGTTCGCATAAACGAATTGTAAACAAAAATGTAGTTATAAAGTATTTACACCCCTTTACATCAATGTTTCCAGTATACAATTATGAAATAAATTTCTAATGATAAAACGATTGAAATCCTTATCTAGAGGTAATGAGAATGACCGAGACTAATCAAGTCTGCAGCAAGTGAGTTACCATTCAGCCGATGAGTTTGATATTAGTGCTATATACCCCTAATTTTGCACAGCTTTCGCCTGCAGTTTTGCCCATGACCTTGAAACGACCTACATGGCTGTTTTCCACACTGATATTAGTTTTTCTTCCCTCTTCTGTCAAGGCCGAACTCTTATTGGTTGCTAACTATTTCAACCTATATGTGGATTTAGTGTTGTCAAGGTCATCTAGAAATGTATATATTCAGCATCACTGTTCACTGTATTGACTATTGTTGAGACAGTAAAAACTTTCTGTGAATGGTGCATCATCTTTTCTGGGCGTGTCGGCAGTAGTTGACATTGTGATTTGTGTTAGAGTCGATACGTCTGCGCGTTAGATTCGTATTGCTCATAGTGTGTTAGGTTGTACTACTACTAGTCATGGCAGTTGGAATGCAGCAGAATGATTTAATGCGGAGAGTAAAATTCATTGGATTTCTTAACAAAATAAAATGAAAAGGATCATTTATAGTGTGTTGTCACTTACAAGTCCAGATGCATCAGCTGGTTGTAAATCAATTGCTCGGATGACATAAACACGTAAAAGACATTCTTCTGGTTCTGAAGATACACATAATTTATCAAAATATCTTAGTGGTAATTCTTCTTTTGGATCTTCTGGTAAAGCATAAATACGAAATGTTCCTTTGAATTCCCCAGCATAGTTGTCTTCATCAGCGTCAACATTTTTACCTCTTGATAGAGTGAATGTATTACAAAAATCTGTAAATCCATTATAGGCTTCAACTTCTTCCAAAGGATGAGGATACACCTAGAGAAACATAAGAATAGGAAGAATAGAACAAAAACCAAATCTAAGACAATATCACTTTTGGATATGAAAACTGACACCGTGTGTAATTTATTAATATTATTATTTGTCCCTTGGGTTCCTAGTGGAACATAGGGCTTCAGTAGCACGCCACCATTTCACTCTCTTCTCTACAGTTTTTCAACCTGGCTCCACCACTACACATTTCTTCCTCACATGATCTCCTCCATATCACCCTCAACTCGAACGCCCAACGCGTCGTTCCCTTTGGATTTCACTAGAGGGCCTGGAGCGTGGTGTCCAGATGGTCTTTTCAGAGTATGTCCAATCCAGTCATCTCCAATTTCTTCTGCATATTTGTTGGGTGATAGGTTGTTGGTTGGTTCGTTGCCAGCCAGCCAGAGTTCCTCCTTGCTTGTTCTTATTCTAGCCATCTGACCTACACTGTCAGTATCGAGCGAACGTAGGTGGCAGCTGTTCATGAGGTATGTCTGTAGTTTGTTGGAAATGCTTTCCGTGACGCGCCAAGTCTCTCAACCATTACATAGAAGCACTGACTTGACTGAATTAGTCTTGAAAATCCGGATCTTGTTCACGCTTTATGCTGAGTGCAGTGGAGTGCGGTAGATCTCCACACTGATTTCAGAATAATGCAGGAAGGTCTGTCTTGTTGTCTTTTCGATCCTGGCTTTGATGTCCTTGTCTGTGCCTGTGCCGCCTGTAGTTGAAACGATGCTGCCTAGGTGGTAGGTGAAACAGACAACCTTCTTTAGGTTTCTGCCGTTGATGGTGATTGGTACTTGTTGTTGTTGGTGGTGTTGGTTGGGTATTTTCATCGCATCTGTCTTCGCTAGGTTCACCTGAAGTCCCATCTTCGGTGCCTCGCCTTTTCTGTCAACTTGTTGGTTATTATTTGTAGATGTTTGAGTTTTTGTGACATGAGACATAAATCATTGGCGAAATCCAAATCTTCTTCTGTGGGGTCTTTTCATCGGTCCAGTCTGCGTATGCCCCTCTTCTCGCTCCTCACAGTTTCCATGCATAATTAGAGGGTTTGAATTTACGGTTGTGACTAGAGCTTCGAACAAATTTAAGCACTAGGTCCTGGAATACTTTAAAGACTGTTTCATCAATGTTCACTCGATGACTAGTTTCTAGTATATGTGATCTGAAACATGTCGTGATGTATTAGCGCTATACATTTTGAACAGTCTGATCAAACATGAACTTGTCAAACTACTTAAATAAAAATTTTACTAAAAGGGTCAATGAAGTTAATAGGAAACATAGAGGAATAGGAAGGGTACAGAAAAACAACAAAATCTTAATCACGTTACTTTTGGTGTTAAAATTAAGTTTAATACCACCAAGGTAGGTTAAACATGATTACAAATGGTTTTTGTATACATAAAGCATGAAGTTTGCATTTACGGATGTCAAGAGCTTCAATAAATTAAGCACTCGGCAATGACCACTTTTATGTAGTACTTTAAAGGCTGTTTTCATGTCTATCTTGTGATTACTTTCTGGTATGCGTTTGGCGATAGACGAAGATGGATGTTTGTCACCTACATTTTTCGGATCTGTTGAGGTCATTTGTTTTTGAAGCCACTTAGGTGTACATGTTCAACCATTTCAACTGCAAATATATGTTATTTTACTTTGTGTTGTAACATGGACTTTGTCTTCTGTGCAATGATGCCGTTGGCTGCATAATATATTTTATAGATGATTAATCTAAGCCTTTTCCTCATAACCCTAACAACTCATCAAGGCAGGGCAAGGTGAACTACAAACTTCCTTTGTACACATAAGTCTGCTTTCAGTCGACAGATTTCTGCTACTTTTGCATAATGTAGCAATCTACTACTTCTTCGTCTGTTGATTACCTTAGAAGTTATGTTTGAGTCGACGGTATGACCTATATTGAGGATATGTTTGCCAATGCCGCTGCTTGAACATTAGTTTCATTTTTAAGGGACTACTCCCCAACAAAATATGCACTTAACTCTATCGGAATAACCAAGTCAGTGATTCCGTGTACAGTACTTAACTTCTCCATGAGATAGTATGATTTGTGGTTATTTATTTTATACACAGAATCCACCTCTTACTACAGTTTTTATGAAATTTGTCTTAAGGGTAGTTTTCGATGAGCTGAAAACTGCTATTTTTAGGTAGAAAGTCTACAAAGAACTGATTAAACTAAATATAAAGGTAAAGTGTTTCACTACGTCACTTAGTGATGCGGGTTCAACTCTCTCAGGTACTGTCAGTTCCCTTGAAGGTTGCAGGTACGTCTCCCTAGTGACTACCGACAAGCAGGAAACTTAGGTCAACCAGGACTTCCTGCATTTCGTCTCCAGTCACCCGTTGGTGGCTAGTAGTGAAATCTAGGACTTGCATTTCGCCCTGTCTGGGACTCATTAGCCGGATGAACTCGAACCCCAGTGATTACTGGATAGTGTTCTCGCTAAAACTTATGCTCCGCACCCGTCGCTTCAAACGCGAAATCACGAGTACCAATGAATAATAATCACAGTAACTGATACCAGTTGCACAAGAGACGGCTGTCGTGCCTCAGTGGTCTAGTGGATAACGCTTCGAAGTTTGAAGTGGCGGATGATGCATTGAGGCATCCAGATAGGATGATAGTTGCCCTTTATTGTGAACCGTTAAGTTCCGATCCGGTGAATGCCTGTTTGATGCAAGACTCGATGGTCTTGGGTAAAGTTTTTGGTACTTTTTTTGTGCGTACTACTGAGAAGTCCCACGCTGGGACGAAACAGCTATCCATTGTTTGATGAATACTACCTTAAAATGTTGTTTCTGCTACTTTGTTTTTCAATCTGTCAGATATACTTACTAGACAGTTCACTCAGTTGTTGGATCAATTGAAGTCAGACGGTCAAACATTTTTCATTACCACATCTCAGGTGAGTTAGGTATTTTCACATACATAGATGAAGTATTATCTTTTGATATCAATGTACCTCTAGGAAGTACCACTTACTAACAGATGATAAATTTGAGTTAACCTTGTTCTCTCTATCTTGATAAACTCATTAGTTCATTCTATCGATCCGCGCATAAAAGTCAACATATGAAATATTTTTATAGTGTGAAATAAGATTACTATAGTCTTCATAAAAAGCTATAAATCTATCAAGCTTCTTACAACCAATCATGTTGCACCGAAGACTCTAGAGAAAGCACACATGAACCAACGTGTAAATATTTGATTGGTTAAAGGGACAAAAACCAATAGGACATTCAAATCTAGAAAGGCTCAGAAATAGTCAAGGTCATTGTGAATAAATATAAACCCTTGTATTTTGTATATATTTTTGACATTGCAATATGCCTTCTGTTATTCTACTGCCTTTTCCGCTTATCAAGAAACTGAGTAACCAGCAAGAGGTGAAATTTGAAGGTTGTTGTCCAGTTTTCCATCCTCATATATATAACTTGGGTTATATTAAGTAGTCACTACGAGGTTATGACAACAGGCGACTGGGATTATAGAAAGTATGGTTACACTACTCATCAGATCTCTCTGGTTACGAATTCAGAGGTTATTACTTAATTTTCATTCATTGATGGGACCGAATTGATCAGCCGCTATCAAACTGAATTTACCGGCAATATCGAGATGGTCATACAGAAGCTTATGTACCAGTAATCGCTGATCACTTCCATTCATTCAGTGACAGGGAATTACAAACTGTAACTTTAAAACTATTCGTACCGAACAGGGGGCCGCTATTGTGACTCAGTTGTTTAGTAGGTAATACTCCAGCATTTGGAATGATTTTTCTTGGGTTCGACCTCTATTGGAAGACAGGTACATCTAACTGATGAGTCCTATGTGGTCGAAACATGCCTTGAGTTTGACGGCTGGCTACCACTCATCATTTTTATAACAACTCAGGTTGACCAGTTGAACAGATGGAAAGCTTTACTGTGAAGAAAAACTCATTCATCACAAAATGCTTACAACCACAAGAATGTCAGATATTCTGCTACAAGAACGGTACAAACTTACACATATTGTATCATAACCGAATTCTTTATACTTTAAACATTTATCCCATTCACCAATTGATGCATAGAACTTTGACCACCAATCCACTTTATCGTCAATTTGTTTAAGATCCATCTAACAGGGTAAAAATAAATAACCATACAATACAGTAGGGTTTATTTTGGGATAAAACTTTACTAACTGAACGACTGCAAACAAACACACACATACATACATACAATATGCACTGAGACAGAAGTTACAAACTACTGTGTATCATGATACTAGTTTACCGAACCACGGCTGTCTCAGATAGTCACACTGCTAATCAAAAGTACGCTCCCCGTCTCTAATTCATCAGCTTCATTTCTACGGGGACAAGAAATTCCGGTTGGATAAACAATAACGAACCTGGGATTCAGATGACAGCTGGATAAAACTTCTTGGTGATTAGGAGATGAATCTCGTAGCTTATCTGAAGAAGGCTACTTCGAATCCTGCTGTGACCTAGATTTTTATCTCACCTTCAATAACAGTTTGCCAAACCTTGGCTATCTCAGATACTCTTAATGATTATTCACAGTTATTAGTACAGATGTGGAAGAAATACTTTTCAGTGATACGAAAAAGGAATTATGATTTATCGTTTCAATGGGATAAACCAAAAGTTGATTGATTTTATTGTACAATGTTTAAGGATCACTTCAGAGTAATAGGCGTTTACGGCTTAAGTGAAATTTACAAATATACAACCTGAGAAGTAAAATTATGTTTTTCTAACTTTATTAGCAACTTTGTTCAACTTATACTAATATCTTCTTAAGCATTAAATTTTCAGATGTTAATTGGAAGCAAAAGGCAATAAAGATTGACTTCTACAACTTACTATTTACTTTTAACATATTTATCTCCTTCTTAAGCAACGATTTCGTAATTTATATGAATGATTCAGGAAATTATGAAATATGAACAAAAGGTTTAGTTATCACTATCCCGCAGTCGACCGTATCACGTATATCCCTTACAGGAGCTATTTTGTTGATATTCATAAGCTGATTACTTGAAAAAATCTCACAATTGGTGATAAAAGTCAAATTTCTTTTCATTATGTAACAACAGATATAAAGGTGTACAATTTTGTCTTCAGTATTCAGTAATCAAATATATGCTGTTCTAGTAAGCGGATGGCATGACATCTACTGAAATAACGAATAAGAGTTCTGTATTTTATGAAAATATCTTAATTGGCTAATTAAATCGTCGCTAGAGTGGGTTTTGGTGTAACTCTCACTGAGCACTTCAATGGAGCTATAAGTAATCATCAGTAGGTTAGGAGAAAATGAGACAGTTCGAATCATCTGCCTCATTATTGCTTAATTATTATTATTATTAGTCCCTTGGGTTCCTAATGGAACATAGGGCTTCAGTAGCACGTCTCCATTGAACTCTGTTCTCTGAAATCTTTTGAACGTGGTTCCACGACAGCCCACAACCTCTCATTTCCTCCTCGCACGACCTCCTCCATGTCACCCCCAGCTCGGACGTCCAACTCGTCGCTTCCCATGGGGATTCCACTCGAGTACCTGGCCTGACGCGTGATGTCCCCAGTCGGCCTTCTCAGTGCATGCCCAATCCATCTCCACTTCCTCCTGCATATTTGTTGAGTGATAGGTTCTTGGTTGGTTCGTTCCCAGAGCTCCTTGTTGCTTATTCTTTCTGGCCATCTGATCTTCAGTAGCGAGCCAGCATAGGCAGTTGTTGATGAATGTCTGTAGTTTATTGGAAATGCCTTTCGTAACGCGCCAAGTCTCTGAGCCATACAGAAGCACTGACTTGACATTAGTGTTGAAAATCCGTATCTTGTTCCACATGCTGAGTGCAGAAGATCTCCACACTGGTTTCAGGTTAATGAACGCCTGTCTTGCTTTTCCGATTCTGACTTTGACATCCTCGTCTGTGCCTGTGCCTCCTGTAGTTGAAACAGTGCTTCCTAGATAGGTGAAGGAGGTTACTTCCTTTAAGTTTCTCCCGTTGATGGTGATTGGAGTTTATTGTTGTTGTTGGTGGTGCGGTATCTTCATCACTTCTGTCTTCTCTATATTCACTTGAAGTCCCGTCTTCCCCCGCTGCCTCTTCTGTCAACTTGTTAGTTTTTGCCTGCAGATCTTCAAGTGTGTGTGACATCAGGCACAAGTCATCGGCGAAATCCAAGTCTTCTAGGTTCTTTTCCGCCGTCCAGTGTATCCCCTCTTCTCGCTTCCCACTGTTTGCTGCATGATCCAGTCGAGTCGACCACAATCAGGAATATCATGGGGGATAGTAGGCAACCTTGTTTCATCTCCTGTCTTCACTTCAAAAGCATCACTGAGCTTCCCATTGTGAATTACTTGGCTGGCATGTGGCATCTTCATATAGTTGTTGGATGAGGCGGATAAAGGTTTGCGGTACTCCGTAGTATTGAAGCAGTTTCCAAATTACTTCTCGGTCGACGCTGTCAAAGGCCTTCTCAAAGTCGATGAAGTTGAGGTAGAGAGCTGATTGCCATTCTATGCTCTGTTCTATGATGATACGAAGCGTTGCAATTTGGTCTGCACATGATTTGTACTTCCTGAAGCCTGCCTGTTCCGGTCGTAGTTTTGAATCCAGTGCATCCTTAAGCCTCTCCAGGATGATGCGGCTTAATATTTTGCTTGCTTGGGTGGACAGGAGAGTGATTCCGCGCCAGTTCTTGCAAGCACTGAGGTCTCCCTTCTTCGGGAGTTTGACAAGGTAACCCTTCTTCCAATCGTCAGGTACCTTCTCTTCCTTCCACACCTTCTGCAATAGTGGTGTGGTGTGAGCATGTCCGCTGTTGTCTCTGCGTCTGTTCTCAGTGCTTCTGGCGGGATTCCATCTGGTCCTGCTGCTTTCCCGCATTTCAGTAGCTTTATGGCGTTCAGGACTTCAACTTTTGTTGGAGGATTTATGTTCACTTGTAGTTCAGCGGGACTGTAGGTGGTATTTCTGGACGAAGTGCAAGTGGTGGTGGTGGTCGATTCAAGAGCTTCTTGAAGTGGTCGACCCATCGTTTCCTTTGTTTCTCTTCTTTCGTAATTAAATTTCCTTCTTCATCTTCTATTGGTTTCATCTGTGTTGATCTCTTCCCAGATAGCAACCTGGTTATTTGATACAATGTTGTCAGGTCTCTCCTACCAGCCTGCAGCCTGTTCTGCTTCACTTGCCAGTGTTTCGTAGAAGTGTCTTTTGTCTTTGCGTGCACTCTTCTTCACTTCTTTGTCCAGTGTTTTATACATTGTGCTCAGTTCCTCTTGTCGTTGAGCATCCTTGCACTGGTTTATCTTCTGCTTCACCATCCTCCTCTCCTCTATCAGCTTCCAGGTATCCGTCGAGACCCATCCCACTCATTATCTTCTTTCTTCTTCCTTCCTAATACGGTTATCCAGGTTTCTTTCCACATCTCTTTCAAAGACTTCCAGTGCTCATCCACACATGTTTCTTCAGGAATGTTCCTCGATATCTCCCATTTTGTCTTGATGGCTGCCGTGAAGATTTCCTTTGTAGTTTCGTCCTTCAGTTTCTGGGTGTTGTACTTGGACTGTGGTCTATCACCAGCTTCCTTGAAGGCTTTTAACTTGATTTGGAAGGTTCCTTGCACTAGATAGTGGTGTGAACCTACATCTGCTCCTCTTCTTGACCTTGTGTCAAGTAGACTGCGTCTCCATTTTCTTGAGATTGAGATAAAGTCGATTTGATTTTTAGTGTGTCTTGTTGTCTGGTGAAATCCATGTCGCTTTGTGGATATCTTTGTGCTTGAACACAGTGCCTGACTCCAATCACCAAATCGTTGAATGCACAGAATTCTGCAAACAATTCTCCATTCTCGTTCATTACCTCACCGAGCGCTTCTCCACCCATGGTTAGTTCTCTTCCTGTGTTGTCCCCTCCCAGTTTGGCATTCATGTCACACCACCCATTAGAATTTTGATATCGCCAACTGACGTCTTGTCCAGTGTTGATTGAAGTTGTCTATAGAATTTCTCCTTTTTCTCTTGCTTAAATAGTTGCTTATTTATAAAGAAAAGGCATAAGTTGACCAGAACTACAGTTAACAATACAGTGACAGGTAAGATAGTTGATGGTACCTTAAACCAGTCTACGTTTAGATAATAATTTCGTTTCCGCTCAATAAAAGTAAATAACCTATATCTTTCTTGGTTCGGAGGTTAAACTGAAGAATTCTCAAAGAAGTGATAGTACAACATAAACTGAATGGTAACTAGTTTGAAGAATGTGGGCAACTGTTTTTTTCGCGGCTGTAGCCTATCAGCAAAGACAAGAGAATAGTCAGCTGGCTAGGCAATATATCTCAAACTGTCATTCAGCACTGATGTAGAACTCTTCCTGCTTAATCTGTTACTGAAGTTACAATTCTATTTCAACTTCTTAACGGTTTATTTGGCAGAAGAAATCGATATGTGATTTTATCAAGTTTTGAAGTACTATGAAAATTTGTGGTACTAATAATTTAGTTGCTAAGATTAATGCAACTCATACAGAAGTCTAGAAGTATGCTCAAACAGAAATTGGTTGTTAAAATTCACTTTATACAATGAAATAATTGACTCTTAACAACCACCATCTGCATGCCACACAACTAGTCACATCAAATTAAAGCTTTATTTATAAGCACTAGGCATCAATTTCAAAAAGCAAAAAGCACCATTTTGTAAAGTGGATCAATCATTAGGAACCATAGAGTAGACATGCACACAGCCTCATAAATAACCGAGTTTTCTTACTCCATTATCTTTTTATTAGTGGGGAGAACATCTATGTTTAACTAATAATTAGATAATCACTGTTCTCTCAACTCTAACATTTGCTTTTCCTTAGTTGTTAAGCTGGTGTGGGTTCCATAATTGTCTACTTGCAAGTCATTGATTTTAATTAAGAAGTATTTTCATTATAACTTCCTGTGAAATATGCACCTAACCAACATAACAAACGTTTCATAACATACCGAACTAGGCGTAGTTTTAAAAAAGTCGCAAACAAATTTATACTACTTTCTAATAGTCAATAGTTTAAAAATTGTCACAAAATAAATAATTTTTCATTAGGTATTTGCCAAACCT